ATTCGTATACCACGAGATCCAGGTCTTTGTATCTCTACGACAAGAAGTCGTTGCATCAAATTAAGATGTAAAGAGATGCTGGAGTTGTCTTTTTGTTTTCTATAATTCTATCACTGTTTATCATATTTTAGCATGTTTTATACGTTAACAACTCACAAAGTATTGGGGAGAGGGTGGCATACGGCTCAATGTTCAACCAAACTTGTGAAAGACATACGGCTCAACTCATACTATGAGAATGCAAAAGGTTGTATACTATGAGAATGGATCTTGTACAAACTTGATTTTAAACATATCTTTTTAGAATCTTATAAATTCTCGGTTAGCCAAACTTTGTTGCATATGTTGAGAATCTTAACTAGCTTTTCTATGTAAATTTCCACCAGAATTTAAAGATTCTCAGCATATAAGATTATTTTTCTAATGAGATCAGATTGTATTAAGTACTATGTATAATGTTCTCAATAGAAAGCCGGCTAGAATTATCATTGTAAAAATGACTTTACGAGTATAAACAATCTTAACTTATACGAACAAGGAGGACAATCAAATCCCGTTTGAAAAGCCGGTTAACTAAAAAGGTCTCATGCAATTTGTATGTTGCTTATTTCTAGCTCGCCGTTTACCGTTTTTTATCAGATAATGCTTACGAATATTAAAATTAAATAAAACCCTAACAAATTGGTGAAATCTAAAGGAATCCGGTTGGAATCTCAGAGGTTGTGGCTGGCAGGCACCAAATCATCCATTATCCATGTTAAACATATTAGGTAACAGGTTCAAATCTCGGCCTATGTCCAAACACACAAAAATACATAACCGAAATGGGTTTGTAATTTTCATTTTCTTTAGTTAAACTTTATGAAATAACTTTAAAATGGTTTTAAGACAAAAAAATGTGAATGGTGAAGAAGGGAGGTTTGGCAGGGAATGGGGCTGGTGGACAAAGAAGAGTAAATGATAGGAGACACCAACCTTCCCAATGTCCCCTAGTACTCAAAGTACATTGTACCTTTTCTATTTATATATACTACAAATTCGATCTTTGTTTCATAATCTTTTGAGATTCAGGTACAAGAGTTTGATAAAACAAGAAAAATTTAATATGTAATTCACGATAAGACTAGAGCGATACATGCATTTAATGGATTGAGCTAACGATACTTAAATCATATATTGAATTGTCGTATAATTTCTCAGTAGCGACGACGTTGGGTAAGTCTGACAAAATGCATGTTTCACAGTGATCAAACTGATCGTTTTTATTACGAGCATTTTGAGTATTTCCGGTTTGTCTTTTGTCCTACGATAGTATTGATTTAAATAGAGCCAAAAGAGATACAAAATTGCAAACTCTCGTTTAATGATTGTGAAGATCCGCAACGGTGAAAAATTTATCCATTTCACATTTCACGGATCACCCATATAGTGTTCAATTGTTTTATAAGAATCGAATTCAAGAATAGAAAGCTTAATATAGTACTTAAGAGCAGCTCCATTCATGAGGACCCTAATGGGGTACTTAAGTTTAAATTAGTGTTTAACTAGTGGTCCATCCGCGCTGCGCGCGGGTTATCGGATATTTGTATTATTTAAAAATTTTAAATTATTTCTTGATTTGTAATGTAATATTTTTATTGTGTTTTGTTTATGAGAATGGTCTATTATGATATCAATGTGATGACATTAGGGTTAAATGGTGGACATTTGGAAATTATTTTAAAATTCTTGAGTCATAGATGTTATTTCTTTGTTTGACAAATTTTATTTTTTTCAGGATCAGAGATAATAGCTATGAGAATATTTTTCATAAAAATTTATTTGAAAACAAAGTCTAACAATTTATTCTAAAAGCAAAATTAAACAGAACCTTTGGAAGAAATTGAAGAGGAACATAAATGTTCAACTTACACTGAGAAACAAAACAAATAAATCAAAAGTGGAAGGANTTTTTCAGGATCAGAGATAATAGCTATGAGAATATTTTTCATAAAAATTTATTTGAAAACAAAGTCTAACAATTTATTCTAAAAGCAAAATTAAACAGAACCTTTGGAAGAAATTGAAGAGGAACATAAATGTTCAACTTACACTGAGAAACAAAACAAATAAATCAAAAGTGGAAGGAGTACGTCATCATGTTAATGGAAAGCACGCTTCCCGTATAGGCCTTCTTTTAGTTAAGGTGATCACTGAAGCCCATTATCCTTTTGTAGAACTCGGTTACCAAAAAGAAGTGGAAACAGTTGGAGCAAACCGTGATCTCCGTCCCCTGTTGAGGATGACAGTTCTGGGGTGGCCACATCTTCTTTAGTGAGGTAAGACATATATCCTTCATGTGAAATTGGAGGTGCTCAAGAGATTGATGAAAAATCGCCATACAATCTTCTAGTACTGGAATACCTTGCTCATCAGTGAGTTTGTTAATGTTTTTAACCCCTAGGTCAGTTTCGCCGATGGCCATAAGAAGGACACTGTAAACGTACCTTCCTCGGAGGTGACCACCATTTGAGGCAATGAGGATATGATGTAGACCTAGGGACTGATTTCGAGTTTCGAATAATTCTAGCATGCCTTTAACATAGTGAGCGTCAACATTGTTCGCGTTGAGACAGTTTTGCACCAACTTTTGTTACCGATGAGCTAGAGCAAGCTTCTTCACCAAAGGTGAGAGGTTGAGATCCTTTGCAACAAAGAAGTTCTCAGAACTGAAACTGAGGGTTTTGGATGTCATAATTGTGTTGAAGTAGTCGGTGGGCGGGGGGGGTCATAGCCTACTTTGGAAACAATTAGGAGACGCATGTCTTCGGGCATGAATTCAAGGGTGAGGGTATTATGTTGTTTTGGATTCATGAAACTCATCGGAAAATGATAGAGGTTTTTTTTATTCTAAAGCTGTCCTTATTAGTTTATTTTTGGTGTGCACTTGTTTATATAGGATGTTGGACACGGTGTTGATTGTAACGTCGTTTACGTTTTTAATATATAATTATTGGAAGCCATAATTTTGTGTTGAATTTCTTTGCGGTTTGATTGTTATTATTTTTGTTGTACCGTTGCATGTATGCTGAGTGAGTTGATGTGTAATTTATGGTTATTAAAAATTAACCGACCGGTTTTCCTTATGATTTTACTTGGTTTTAGTACTTATAATATAATTTGAAAGGTAATTTATAAGTAGGTAACGAATAAACCTTTTTTTGGTTTGCTTGACATTAGATAAATTTGTATTTGTTGCAAACACCATAGATTTGTGGAATAATTTTCAAATTATTTTGAGGGTTTGATTTACGTTTTTAGGTATTTATTATCATTATCTGAAATATCTAAATAGATGTGTTTGTAACGTGGCATTGAACGCAAAAAATATTTTGGTAATATAGATGATTTATGCCATTATTTGATGTGTTTCCGTTTTAACAACAAAAACTTAAAAAAAATTTGGGCCTCTACCACACAAAATAGCCAGCCCAACAACAACCACAAAACCGACAAAACCAATTGAAACCGAAACGGGTGAGATAAATTTTGTTTGGTCTATTTGGTTTAGGTTATTGCTGACATGACTTTTTTTGCCCCCCTCACAAATGCTGATGTAGATGCATAAGAAGGGAGAGAAGCCTACTTTATTGTATAAGATATAGTGATTTGACAGTTATAGAACCTCTAATAATCTGTTTTGATATGTTCTATTAACTGATCCAACTTATCTATGAATATGTATCTAGTACTATTAAATAGTGGACTGTATATCACATTATTTTCTCAAAGTGTGTAACGTCTTCCCACTAATGTAGAGAACAGTCTAATTGTCTGTTACTCAACCACAATGTAAACTGCATTAATCGAAACTCAAACAAAAACTGACTAAGTAACATCAATTTTGTTCCTAGCAAAAATCAAAGCCAAGACAAAGGGGGTTACACTATGCCCCAAGTCTTTTACCACCAAACTATCATTAATTGATTACTTTAAGAATGTTTACCAATTAAATATGTGTTGAATGAATCTCAACAAGCCCCAGATCATCTACTTTTATTGCCTCGTGACGTGAAATGTACCAAGGAAATAAAAGTTTATTTTATTATATACACCGATACACTTTGGCTTCACCGACAAGGTCTCTACAATGTATCAAGGTGCAAGTCAGTAAGGGAAAGAGCAATTAGGTCTGAACGAGACACCGTCTGATTTGGTTGACTAATTTAGAACGATTCAGTCCTTCTGACATCTTGGAAGCAAGAATTGCAAATGGATTTGGTCGTCCACATGTAAGTACTGTGTACGCAAGGGAAAAAAGTAGAAACTTGCATGATTCTAATTTCTAACCGTTTTAGATAAAAAAATTTATATAAGAGTACGAATATATCTATCTTTCATATTTCGTTCATCATTCTTTCTTTATGTGTAATATAGTTACAAGGTTACATAGTAGTACACACACAAAAAAATGTACTAAGTACAGTAGTACCAAATTTTGTGGTGGTGTTCTAATCGGTTAAACCAAAATCTCCGGACCCTGAAACCACTATCCAACAAGGCAGATGCTAGTGGGGCTATCAATAATAGTTATAATTAGTTAGGTTGTATTTCGTATTTTACCATATTTGCAGCATAGTTTTTCACCATTGCGATCAAAAGATTTTTTTAATAAATGTAACGAGAAATAGACCCAAGGCAGGTAGGGACATGAGAGTTGGGCCGTAAAAAAGACTAAACATATGATGTTGACCGTTGGCAGATTCGTCCTCTCTGCCAAGTCTCCTGATTGTGGGGTCCATCTTTTTCTCGACGCAACTCCTAAAGGCTAAAAATCCATGCACAGCGCGTGAAGATACTTGTTGGGCTTCATATATTAAAGCCCATTTAAGAACCACGTTTTTCTTAAAAGGCCGATATCATATTATTGATATGAATACTTACTCTACTAGCAAATCAGGGCCAGTGACCAGGTTGTGCATTAGGCTAAGCAATTAGCTTAATTTTAGCCTAATCTTTTTTTTTTTCATGTAATAGATTAGAAATGGATTCAAACATATATGAAACATAGAAGTGTCATCATCACATTACATTTTCCATATTGGAATGACAGAAGTCAATATTTAAAAAAACTGCTCCATTGCTAGAGAAGAATTCTTCAAGCCTTAACGCAACAGTTGAAGCAGCTAAAGATGCTTCTCCTCGTCTGTTTCCAAACAACCACACACCAAATCTTATTAATCAAGAATCGACTCAATAAAAACTGGATTTAAATAAGACGTTCTAATGATAGTAACGCAAAATCTAAATAAGGATTTGTACACTATGATGTGACCACAAACTCAAAAAATATAATATTCATGTTAGAAACGATCAAAGGTGGTCTGGAATCTTACGGAAGGGGAATGTGGTTGGTGATGGTGGGTTGGAGAGAAGTGATGCTGTTTTTCACTATGGACCGTGGTGAGCTTAGCGGTTGCTGTAGCTGACTCGGATGGTTTAACGAGCTCATCGTCGTTGCCAATACTGGCACGAGAAGGGTCTCTCTTGTTCTGTTTCCTCATCTCTCTAATCTTAGTGAAATCCATAGAGTAATCAGGAATAGTTCCTCCTCCTTTCTGGTCCCAATCACCAAACTGTGGTACTGATAGCCATGGAGAGTTCTTCTGCAAAACCCAACAAAAAAATTAAAAAAATTAAAAAAATTAACTAATCAAAATGGTTTCATACTTCACAAGAAAAAAAAACAGAGCTATTTACAAAGCGATGCATCGTGAGTTCTTGTTTTTATTGAACTGTTTGTAAGCTTTGGAATGTGATTGAGTTTAATAGAGAGATAGTTGTTGATGATCGAGAAAAAATCTGAGTAAAAGTAGGATCTTCTTATGTATCCAATAAAGGTTAACACAAAGTTTGACAAGATTTCAGCTTCCAAGAATCGGAAAAAGAGAGAAGCGTTACTCGAGTTTTGTTACCGAGACGAAATCTAATATCGTGGCATCACTGCAACAGTATCAATAGTGTTTTTGGAGCTTGTTTTTATAATAAGTAAAAACTCATGTTCGATTACCGACAAAAGCACAACAAAACTAGTAGATCTTTGATTTCATAGTTCACAACAAAATATCTCGAGAAACAAACAACAGATATGAAGAAGAAGAAGATAGTTTTGTACCTCTTTTCGATCATCCTCCATTTGATTCAAATATGTAAAAATAAGGTTTTAGAGATTAGTCTATCTGAATCCTAGCAAACGAGAAGCTAGAGAGACGGTCTCAAGTCAACAGTAAGGAAATGAAATTTATCAATAAAAAAAAACAGCTCTATTTATCAATAAAATTAAATTTTATTTCATAGCCAATAATAGTAGTGATAAACAATAAACAATTACGGAAAGTCCGAGGTCGTGTGTAATAATCACGAGAATGCCATTTAAGACTTTTTATCCCCTCTTTGTCTCTTTCCTTTCGGCGTTGGTCAAATTAAAGAACCTGATGTCAGGGAGAGCATTAAAGTATTTTAGGTAGAAAATGTTAGAAATGTTGACCTCTAATTATTTCATAATATTTCAAGTTATGACTAGAAATTCGGTTTGAATTAGTTTAGTATTTTTTAAAATTGAAAACTTGATAATCTATTATACTTATCAGACAAAAAAAGTTCTAATAATCCTGATTATGAGAAAACTGGATTAAAAAAAAGAAAAATGATAACATGAATTCCTTGATTGGATCAAACAATTTCTTTAGTGAAACAAACCAAATAAATTTCATGCAGACATTAAACTGAAGCGTGACACTGATTTTGGAACACCAAACCACCGTAATTCCAAATACCATTACCAGTGATGATATTTTTACTTAAAACCGGTTTTTGACTAGACAATTGAACCGGAGAAGTTATCCATTTTGGAACCGGACCGGCTATGAACAATGACTCAACCAACGATCCAGCTTCACTAACAGCTTGCAAAAACTTACCGTTTTCCGGGTACACTCCTCCGATCATCTCCAACACAACGGTTTCAAAATCTCTCATTTCCTCAACCACAAATCCCATCTGATTCGACCGAACGCTGAGATTCAACGGAGATGTATTAACACTTGTGTACGAAGAAGAATCACCGGGAGATAGATTGTAACTACAGTTTTGATGAATAGTAGATTCATCTGCGGCTTCTAGGTAGTAGTTACTGGTTATTTTTCCTTCAGACAACAGTATAATGTTAAGGAGTTCCCGTAACTGTGAGAGTTCGGCGAGTGAATGCATCAGTTGTTCTCTTGCTTCATCTCTTTCTTGGACAGCAAGTCTCCACAGCTGATAAAACTGTTGAGATTCTTGGTCCATGCTTATTTGTGAAAATTATGATTGGAGACGACGAAGAAGGTATAGCTTTTATAAATGTATAGTAGTGGAGTAATAAATAACGAGTTTATACATAATTTTTGTAGTGTTCTTATTTATTGCCCTAAGTGAAGATGGAAAGTTTAGTTGTTCTTTCCGACCTTGTTGATTATTTGAGAATATCTCACTGATATACTTGCATCATATATCGGATATAAAAGGTGATTTAGACATTATAATTAGGGAAATATAATATTTTATATTGATGAAGTCGTAAGATCTATTGATTCTTTTTTTTGTTCCTAAATGAGTGAGATGTTCTAAACAGTTTTGAGCTCTTTATGCGTTTTGAATGATCAGTTGTCAAGAAAAAAAAAGCGTTTTGAATGGTTAATAATTAGACACGTGACAATTTATGAGCCTTGAGTTAATATGGACACGTGTGTTTACGTAAGACTCTTTGCTCACGCTACAGAAAACTCCAGAGTCTTTGGTTTCTATTAGAACTCTTGTTCTGTTCCCTTGTCAAAAAAACAAACATTTTTTAAATTGTTTGATCCTTTTGATATCTACACTATACTGATTAAATCCAAAAATGGATATAACGATGAATCTCCATTGCTTAAACCTACGTTCTACGTTATTCACTAATCCTCTCCCTTGCCCTAAACCATCCACCATCAGAATCTCCTCTGTTTCTAACCCTAGACGAGAGATTCTCAACCTCAGAGCCAATCTTCCCTCCATCAGCTCCACCTCCTCGACGAATGATCACATCAAACCGATCGTTAAGCATTCAAACGACGGTGCGTCCACGATTTCTTCCGGAGTGAGACTTGAAAACATAAGCAAGAGCTATGAAGGCGTGACGGTGCTCAAGGACGTAAACTGGGAAGTGAAGAAAGGTGAAAAAGTAGGGTTGATAGGTGTAAACGGTGCTGGTAAAACGACACAGCTCAAGATAATCACTGGTCAAGAGGAGCCTGATTCAGGGAACGTCATTAGAGCCAAACCCAATATGAAAGTCTCTTTCTTGAGTCAGGAGTTCGAGGTTTCCTTGGGGAAGACAGTGAAGGAAGAGTTCATGAGTGCTTTTAACGAAGAGATGGAGATTTTGAGGAAGCTTGAGAAGTTACAGAAGGGGATAGAAGATGCTCTTGATGATTTAGAGTTAATGGGAAGGTTACTAGACGAGTTTGATTCTTTGCAGAGACGAGCTCAAGAGATGGGTTTGGATTCTTTAGATGCGAAAGTTAGTAAGCTAATGCCTGAGCTAGGGTTTTGTGAAGAGGATGCAGATAGGCTTGTTGCTTCTTTTAGCAGTGGGTGGCAAATGAGAATGTCACTTGGGAAGATCTTGCTTCAGGTATATGAATATATTAATGATTCTTGATATTGTTAGGGCCGGTCCTGAGATTTCGAGGGTTATGAATAATTTTATAAGAGTTTAGATATACTCTTTTACAAATTTTGGAGGTTTATATATGTAATCTTTATTTAGTAGTCATAGGCCAATGCTTGGCCCTAGATCATGTACAGAAACTATGTAGCTGATGTGTGAGTATGTGTATAGGATCCAGATTTGCTGCTTTTGGATGAGCCAACGAATCATTTGGATCTTGATACTATTGAGTGGCTTGAAGGCTATTTGAGTAAGCAAGATGTGCCAATGGTTATAATATCTCACGACAGAGCGTTTCTTGATCAGTTATGTACAAAGATTGTGGAAACCGAGATGGGTGTGTCCAGGACTTTCGTTGGTAACTACTCTCAGTATGTGATTTCAAAAGCAGAGTGGGTCGAATCTCAGTATGCTGCTTGGGAGAAGCAGCAGAAAGAGATTGAAGCAACAAAGGATTTGATTAGTAGGTTAAGTGCTGGAGCAAACTCTGGACGAGCTTCTTCAGCAGAGAAGGTAATAAATAATAAACTAGCAGCAACGTTTACTTACTATTTATGAAGGCTGAGGTATGTATGAGTTTGTGTGATGAGCAGAAACTAGAGAAGCTCCAAGAAGAAGAGCAGATAGAGAAGCCGTTTCAGAGGAAGCAAATGAAGATTAGGTTTCCTGAATGTGGATTAAGCGGGAGATCTGTAGTTACTGTTAAGAATCTTGAGTTCGGTTTTGAGGATAAGGTGAGATGATGATACATTATCTTTCACTAGTTTTGTCTAGTCTAATGGTTTGATCTGTGTCTGATGCATGCAGATGCTGTTCAACAAGGCAAATCTAGTGATAGAAAGAGGAGAGAAGGTAGCTATTATTGGTCCAAACGGGTGTGGTAAGAGCACGTTGTTGAAACTCATTATGGGTTTGGAGAAGCCTATGAGAGGTGAAGTGGTTCTAGGGGAGCACAATGTATTGCCGAACTACTTCGAGCAGAATCAGGTTTGTTCTGTCATAAAGAAAGGGCTTAGAGGGATCATGAATATGGTTTTACTCACATGTTGGTTATAGGCAGAGGCTTTAGATTTGGATAAAACTGTGATTGAGACGGTTGTTGAAGCTGCTGTAGATTGGAGAATTGATGATATAAAAGGTCTTCTTGGTCGCTGCAACTTCAAAGCTGACATGTTTGATAGAAAAGTCTCTCTGTTGAGTGGTGGTGAGAAGGTAGTTTTTTTTGTTGCATTCACAATAATACTTTCATTCGTTGGTGTGTTCTTCATTGCTGTTTCTCTTGCGAGATCTTAGGCACGCCTTGCTTTCTGCAAATTCATGGTGAAACCCTCCACTCTACTAGTGTTGGACGAACCCACCAATCATTTAGACATACCTTCAAAAGAAATGCTTGAGGTTTCTTCTTTCTCTTTTCTGTTTGGTAAAATTTTCTTGGAAGACGAATAATTTCTGATACTCTGATGTTTTCTTCATCAGGAGGCAATAAACGAGTACAAAGGCACAGTCATCGCAGTCTCTCATGATCGATACTTCATTAGGCAAATCGTCAACAGAGTTGTTGAAGTCAGAGATGGTGGTTTAAAGGACTATGCAGGAGACTACAATGTAACAAAATATCTTCCTAGTTTCATTCTTATTGACATTTGCCAAATTTGTTTAATTTAAAGTTGTGTAACATGAGATGTTTTTCAGTACTACCTGGAGAAGAATATGGAAGCTAGAGCCAAGGAGCTGGAGAGAGAAGCAGAACTGGAGGAAAAAGCTCCAAAAGTGAAAGCCAAGTCAAAGATGTCAAAGGCTGAGAGAGAAGCAAGGAAGAAGCAGAAGATGAGAGCCTTTCAAGCTTCCAAAATGAAGTCAAAGTCCAGCAAAAATGCCAAGAGATGGAATTAAATAAAGCTTTTTACACATATTTAGATGTATGTACACAGTGATTGATCCATTCTTGATTCAGTGTAAATATATGGTTTAATTTATTTGAAAACTTAAACCATTCCCTGAAAATTATAGTATTTAACATGAACGTTGGAGGAAAGACCATGCAAGGGAATATAATGTTTCGATTTTTGTAACTTGAAGATGCTTCTGAGTAAGTGCCTATGAATGTTGAGGCTAGAGAGCAAGAGAGCTGGGAAAAAACGGAAGAAGATGAAGTGAAAATATGTACAACCTCAAAAGAGAACTCATGTCCAACAAAAGTGCAAAAGAGAAGGTATGGAAGCTTCTCAAGTAGCTTTAGGTATTATATCATATTCATATATCATTGCAAGCTTGGACCATGCATTGTAAATTACATTCATTTAACATAAAGGTATTATTCCGGAGATCCTGATATGAAAGCTTTATAATTTCAGACATGAATAATTCAACTCCAAACACACATAATAATCAGCACCCTGACGTATGTTTATAGACTTAGATCTTGAGTTCTTTCGGCACTACTCGAATCTCTTGACAAGGGAAAGATCATTGAGCATCTTCTCAATTGCTTCATCACTATGAGTTCTTCCTTTTGTCTACACAAAAAAAGAAGCTTACATCATCTCAAAAGTCCACAGTTAGGTATCTGATCTCCACTTAATAGAAAAGGTAGAATGTTTTTTTTCTTTACCTTGAGAGAAGGAACCATAGCCACTGCTTCTTCAGCAGTTTCAGGACAGAGATTGCCAAGAACACAGAGCTGTTCAATGCAATGGTTTTAAAGTCTTGTGTCAAAAACTACTTAGCTGAGACAAAAAATCCAATCTCAAAAAGATTTAACATCTTACCTCAAATTCAGTGAGTTGATGTCTACTCAGTATTCTGTGGAATTTAAGTTAAGGTAAAACATGTTGCAATAAAAATCATACGGCATATTCTCACAAAACTAAGGAATTGAAATTCTCTCATTCATCATTCAGTGCTAAGAAAAGCAGAATCAACGCATTTTATGAAGATGCAAGCATGACAAAACGCAAACATGGGTTAGATACTATGAAACAAGTAATTAAGAAAGAGGATACTCTCGAACTTGTCTAACAGCATCTGGATTCTTGTAGCGGCTAAAACGCTTCACATACTGCAACGACTTCTCAAACACTCTGCAAGAAGAAACCAACATATAAGTTCAATTGTCATAAGCATTAGTCCTATAGAGAGCCTCCACTAATCTATAGTTGTATGCATTAGTGTAGACTAATAACAAAAGCAGAGTACTTTCAATTCTTAGTCTTCAAGATCGAAGCTTTCTCTTGGCTAGTTTACAATGAATGTTCATAAAACACAAAACTTTTAAAAAGGCTTACTGAGAAACTTGATTCATAGGATCCTCGGAGACTTGCTGAAGCTGTTCATACTTGTGCTCAAGGATCAAAGAGACTTCACAATTCATCAAACACTTTGCCTTCAAAAACTCTGTTGCCAAAAGCTCAATGAGAATTCATAAAAGACGATACTTTTACAATTCGAGTGAAAAAGAAAAAGGTCCTAATTTTTTTGCGGGCATGGAGAAGGGAGTAGAAGAGAGGTACCGTCTCCGATCTTGAGCTCGGCGGCGTTCTCTTCTTCTTCTCCGGACATGGCGAGTGAGGTATTCGAACCCTAGAGGTTTTCTTTTCTCGTTCTGCGCAAATCTATTTTTCTTTCTCGGCAGCGAAACTATTTATAGACAAAAAAAAGTTAATTAGCAATAGCGAGAAATTAAATTAAATTAATAAATACTAAGGATGTAATTTACTGTTAATAATTTTCAAAATTTCTGATTAATGGTGTTATTTTGGTTAGTGTAGAACAATATTTTTTTACTTGACATACAAATTATACGATTCTAAAAATAATATATTACACTATGTTTACATGTAGAAGGAATGGCAAATAAGTTGTATCATCTTATCATGTTCTATATCGCAGCGAACTCGTTTTAGAATAACTGATAAAATATCATTATGTCAAAAATATAAGTTGTTACGAATCGACTTGTTGGTATAATATTATCAGAACTGGTTCCAGATCAAACCGTACGAAACATTTGCTTTAAATTCCTAATTTATTTGAAAAAAATTACTTGTATATATGTCCAAAATAATATTAAGACACCAAATCCATCGAAATTATTTTTTAGTTAAAATCATTCAAAAATCGTCTTAGGTCTCTAAATTCTCAGGACCGACCCTAAATATTACATATAGTTTTTGGAAGTTATGTGAAAACTAAAATTATCGTTAATTTTTTTTTATGGTCAAAAATTCTTTAGTCATATTGGTGAAGAAAAAATTGAATCGACTTTTTTATTTTATTTTAAGTTTTAGATGAAAATAAGTGAAAAATGATATTTATGGATATTTGTTATTGTACATGATCTGCTTCGATTAAAGCTTCATTCCACAAAAAATCCATCCCGCAAGAACCTGTCCCGCAAGTCTTACAACTTTAAGAATTTACAATATCATGATCCAATACCACCCTATTACAATTTTGTGTGGCTAATCCAAGTCTAACAACATTACCATCTCTATTTACATCATGTACATCAGACCATCAGCAACCGTGTTTTCGTTTGGCTCGATTTCCAAACTTTATTTTTTCTTATTTTTTCTTATTTTATTTTTTCTTTTATTTTTTTAAAAGATAAACTAATCATGGGCCGTCATGTAGTATGAGGCCCGCGATACAGTAACGTTACTCAACCAACACAATCCTTACCTAATGATTTTGCAGACACCGAGAAATATAACTCAAGCAATTTTTTAAGGGCTAATTGGTGTAATAGCCATATTTGGGAGATAAATTAAGTGAGTAGCATTGATGTTGACATAATTAAATGTCAGACATTTGTGCCTCATTTTATCCGGTTCTGCCCTCTCACTTAATAGGTTTTCAGTTGTAATTGGAAAAATAGGTAATGTCTTACCTTTGATGAAGTCATCCACGTATCTATTTATTAACCACATACATAACATCGAATATTCTATTCTATATCACCGAGTATTCTATTCCATATCACCGAAATATTATAAGATTATAACTTCATCTATAACTTTTAAATATTAAATATATCTCAACTCTACTTATCCTTAATCCCATGACAACCCCTAAATATTAAACCCTAAACCTAAGTATAAACCCTAAATCCAAACATAAACTCTAAATCCAAATATAATAGAACAAAAAAAAAATAACATAGTACATATTTGTGAAATTATGAAATATTTATGATTGAAATTATGAAATGTTTAAAATGTTATGGACGCTAATCACTAAACAAAAATTAGGAAAATATAAACCCCAATCCATTGGCGATCAACCCCTTTCTTTTGTTTACATCACTAAACAAAAGGTAAAAAAATATAAACCCTAATCACTAAACATAAGTTAGGGAAATATAAACCCATAAATTGTCATTTAAAATGTTATGGACTTTAATTACTAAACAAAAGTTCGTCAAATGGAATGGAACATGAAACTCTAGTTATCCATAATCCCACCACAATCTTGAAAAATTTATTTTATGATTGTGTGTGAGCAACAAAAAGCCACGTTATATGTTTCATAATCAATAATTATTAACTGTTTTTTTTTTCTTTACAGGTTGTACAGGTGAAAAGGAAGGTCAATATAGTATTATTATAGAAATATAACAGTATGTATAGGAAAGCTAGGGAAATTGGTTAGTTGGTGAATTATACTTTTTTTTCATGCTATACAATCTAATTTCCCATTTTTTAATATTGTTTTCTTGAAAGTAGTGCTAAGGATTCGTCATGTTCCTTCTATTGCACATGCTCTCAGTCATGAGCAGATTGCTTACCAAACCGGATTTTAGTACCAAACCAAACCGAAACCATAAATTTTTATGAGCTGAAAGTAAATTACTTAATGGCCCAACAATGGCCCACTATAAGAAAAAAGGATTATCGGCCGAAGAATCTGAGATTTCTTGTTCAAGGGGTTGGGGACTTTGCGATTTCTTTGTGCTCTCGCCAACTCCATAAACTCTATCTCCATCGCCTCCATTCTCCCTTCCGTCACCAATAATCTCATCCCTTCCTAATTTGAGTTGATTCATTGTGATTTCACGATGGCGAGTTCTCGAATCCTCAGATCTGTTATTAGCTTCAGTTCCCTTAGCTTCTGCAATTTGCATCTCATTCCGTTTTATACTTTAAATCTCAGGGAACCAACGCGAATCTCGAGGCGTCGATAGATCGGCTTCTGAACGAAGAGAAGCAGATGAGACTCGCGGAGAACGTCGCCGGGACAAGGAAAGCCGCGACTGAGATTCTCCAGCTTTGTTTCGAAGCCAAGGATTGGAAGCTTCTCAACGAGCAGATTCTCAATCTCTCCAAGAAACGTGGTCAGCTTAAACAGGTACTACACTTTCGATGCTTATTAGGTTTTTAGATTTTGCCTGCTAAGGGTGTTGGAGAAATAGCTTAGGTTTGATATGTTTAGAAACTATCATGAAAGTTAAACTGTACAAAGTTTAAATGTAAATATTAGTGATTGTTTTTTTTTCCACGTGGACGCTTTCGTTTGTCAGGCTGTGCAATCGATGGTGCAGCAAGCTATGGAGTATATTGATCAGACTCCAGATATTGAAACTAGGATTGAACTTATTAAGACGTTGAACAATGTGTCTGCTGGAAAGGTGTGGTATTGAGAAGCTGATGTGCTTTTATTCATCATATCTTCATCATTTTGTGTAATTGTTTTGCAATTTAACTCCACGTGTGTAGATATATGTTGAAATTGAGAGAGCTCGTCTGACAAGGAAGCTTGCTAAGATTAAGGAGGAGCAGGGTCAGATTGCTGAGGCTGCAGATCTTATGCAAGAAGTTGCTGTAAGTTTTTTTCACTACTTACTCCAGTGGAAGTCTTTATCTTAAGTTCTGTAATGCGATTCTTAATAACAGGTGGAGACATTTGGCGCTATGGCTAAAACTGAGAAAATTGCATTTATCCTTGAACAAGTAAGGACTTGAGCGGTATTTTTATTTTTTTAATATGATCTATTGCTGTTCTCATTTTGTGGTGCTAATTTTTTGGGTAACTTTTCAAGGTTCGTTTGTGCTTGGATCGTCAAGATTATGTTCGTGCACAAATCTTATCTAGGAAGATTAATCCTAGAGTTTTTGATGCTGATACCAAAAAGGATAAGAAGAAACCTAAGGAAGGTGAGAATATTGTGGAGGAGGCTCCTGCTGATATACCAACTTTGTTGGAGCTCAAGAGAATTTACTATGAGTTAATGATTAGGTAAGGCTTCTTTAACACATTTTTTTCACGATTTGTGTCCGTTCATTTTTCAAAGTCTTTTTCCTGACCACTGATTTATTACATGAGCGGATTTTTGTTTCCACTGATTGATTTCCGTGGCATTGTCTTTCTTCTATGAATAACCAATTTAAAACTCAATCTTGTAGGTATTATTCTCATAACAATGAATACCTTGAAATCTGCCGTAGCTACAAGGCAATATATGACATCCCTTCTGTAAAAGAAACTCCAGAGCAGTGGATTCCAGTAAGCGTTATAGCATTGTTTGGGTATTAGACTATTAGTATGATATGAATTCTGTAGCGATTTAAAAATTAATATTTTGATCTTCAAACAATAGGTGTTGAGGAAGATCTGCTGGTTCTTGGTCTTGGCACCTCATGATCCAATGCAATCAAGCTTGCTCAATGCGACTTTGGAAGATAAGAACCTATCAGAAATTCCTGATTTCAAGTACTTTTCTTTCTCTATAAACTTTGTTTTTTTAATTGCTGTTTTGGTTTTCATATGGGTGCGGAGTAGTCTCTTATGTTTTATATTGTTCGATCCAGGATGCTTCTAAAACAGGTAGTGACAATGGAGGTTATCCAATGGACAGCTCTGTGGAACAAATACAAGGGTGAGTTTGAGAACGAAAAAAGCATGGTTGGTGGCTCTTTGGGTGACAAAGCTGGTGAAGATCTGAAGCTGAGAATCATTGAACACGTAAAGTCTCTCCATGATAATCATTGTTGTTGGCAACGGCAGTTAACGTTGCTAATATTTTGATTTTTTTCTTTGTAATCTGCAGAATATTCTCGTGGTCTCAAAGTACTACTCGAGAATAACCTTAAAGAGACTTGCAGAGCTTTTATGCCTAAGCATTGAGGTAATTGATTGATTCTCTCTTGTTGTTTTATATGGTTCTCACTTATCAAGCTCTTTATTCAATTGTATTTTGTTGGAATAACTTCAGGAGGCAGAGAAGCATCTCTCAGAGATGGTAGTGTCGAAAGCACTGATTGCCAAAATAGACAGACCATCAGGAATCGTGTGCTTCCAGATCGCAAAGGACAGCAACGAGATTCTCAACTCGTGGGCAGTGAATTTGGAGAAGCTCTTGGATCTTGTTGAAAAGAGTTGCCATCAGATTCACAAGGAAACTATGGTTCACAAAGCCGTACTAAGATCTTGATGACATTGTGCTGTATTGGTTACTACGGTTCACAAAGCCGCACTGAGACCTTGATGCTTTGTTGGTTTTCTTTGTAAGGATCTTGGTTGAGTTATTAGCGTCTGTGTGAAAGAAATTTCGAGACAGTTGTTTCCTTGTGAAGACTTTTAAAAAATGTAGTATGGGTTTCTGTACACTAGTGGAGTTTTCGCCACTTACTGGTTTTTATCAGTCGAGTAGTTTCTTCAGAGTATACCAGATTATATGATGAATCAAACTAATATACCGAACTGATTTTTCTTTGGTTCATTGCTGGTCGATATTTAAAATCCTGAATAAACTGAACAAATTTCGACCGGATACTAGAGACCTATACACGTTTAAAAATAATTGAGATAAATGGGCCTTTTTGGGTTACTGCTAAAGCTATTCAAGCCCATTATAAACCTCGCTATTTATTTACGAGTATACGTATTACCCACCATCGTTTCGACATCAGTCGGAGCTAGCTCCATTATTAAAATCCCTTAATCGCTCCATTTCGATTAGAAACCCTAATTTGTGAATTGCCGTGACGTTGACGAGGATGGAGTTTGACGAATACGAGTACCTGGAGAAGACGGTAGAGGAAGGAGATGAATTGAATAGGAAAAAGGAAGAGAGCGGTAAAGAGAAGAGTGAGAAGCGTTACGCGAAAAGAGAAGGAGACAGTCGTGACGTAGAAAACGGTGACGAAGAGCGAAGGAGCAGTCGGAGTAAGAAGTCTCGTGGAGACGACGAAGAGAACGGTGAAGGTAAGAGAAGGGATCGGGAGAAAGAGAGGCACAGGAGCAGCCGAGAGAGGGATAAGATTAAGGTTAGGGGAGGATCGAGAGATAGAGAGAGAGATCGGGAGAGGAGTAGCAAAGGAAGAGACAGGAGTGATAGGGAGAAAAGTAGAGACAGAGAGAGGAGAAGCAGCAGCAGATCACGGAGAGAAGAGAAAAAGAAGGAAACCGAAGTAGTGGAAAGAGAAAGCAGGTTAGTTTAGCGAAACGTTAATTGTTGGTACATGTTTTTATAGGAATGATGCAAAGCTCCTATGTACTGACTGAAAGCTTTTGTGATTGCATAGGAGACACAAGGAGAAGAAAGATGAGCCTGAAGCTGATCCTGAGAGAGACCAAAGAACTGTTTTTGCATATCAGGTAGTTTTTCTAAGCTTTGATTTAGTCAATGATTAGTGGATAAAGAAACTCACATGGTTAAGTTTTTACTGATTAAGCCAACCTATCTTGTTTTGTGATTCACAGATGCCTCTTAAAGCTACCGAGAGAGATGTTTATGAGTTCTTCTCCAAAGCTGGCAAGGTCTGTTTACTTTGTGCCGTCGTATTTACCGTTGTAGTTTGTTTAGGCTAGAACAATGTAGGAGGATGTGCTCTCTAGTTTGTTAATTGTATTTACCGTTGTAGTTTGTTTAGGCTATAACAATGCGTTAATATTACTCCATCAGTCTCTATTTCCAGGTCTTTGTTCTTATTTTTATCTCTTTTCTTGTTTTTTCAGGTCAGGGACGTGAGATTGATTATGGACAGAAATTCAAGACGATCAAAAGGAGTCGGGTATGTTTTTCTTTCAGCTTCTTGCAAACTAAGTGTTTGTGTATGTGCATTTTGGTTTGTAAGATTCTGCATATTCAATTTTCTCTGCAATTTCAATAGCTCGATTTAACTGTATTCTTAGATGCACTATCAATGCGATAATGATGAGGATGATGGCACTTGTTTTATCAATTCTGCGTGTTCAAGGTAGATGTCAGAAAACCTGAATCCTTGTTACTTTCAATTGCAAGCACTATCGGGGAGGAGGGAACCCATTAGTCTATCTTCATTTCTTACTTATTAGATTTAATTATTGTTCATTTTATCATGATGGGCGCTAACATTTTCAATTAATCTAGGCCTCTAACCCACACTCCGCACTAAAGTTTAACTTCTCATTGCTACGTTTTTCTGCTATATTCATCTGACGTGTATTTTAAGTCAAATATCTATTTCTTGTTGACGTGCAGGTATATTGAGTTTTATGATGTGATGTCTGTTCCAATGGCCATAGCTATGTCTGGACATATGTTTCTTGGGCAACCTGTGATGGTTAAGCCCTCCGAAGCTGAAAAGAATCTGGCTCAGTCCACTACCACGACAGGCGGTGTAAGTAATACTGGCCCTGTTGACCGAAAGCTCTATGTGGGGAACTTGCATTACAACATGACAGAGTTGCAAGTTAGACAGGTATCGTCATATCCACCCTCCTTAATGTAGTATAAAAAAGATAAATGGCTTCTTGAGAGGCTGTATTTCTTTTGAACGGATGAACAACTTTAATAAACTATTCCTGCTCACATATATATTTTCTCATTGTCAGATTTTTGAGCAATTTGGTCCTGTTGAGCTTGTTCAGATGCCATATGACCTTGTAAATGGTCAGTGTAAAGGTTATGGATTCATACAGGTTAGTAGAACTCTTTTTCAAATTATTTGTGCTGTTTTTCTTTGGGATTCCTCACACATATTATTTCTCTTTCCATAGTTTGCCCAATTTGAACATTCAAAGGCAGCACAAACTGCCTTAAACGGAAAATTGGAGATTGCTGGTAGAACAATCAAGGTGAGTTTTGAACTCCTTGTAAAAATGATCAGATAATGGACTTGCTTGTTACTTCACTGTGATAAATTTATATATTTGTTTTTTCTCTCTTAGGTTTCGTTTGTCTCTGAGCATATAGGCACTCAAGACGCTAATCCAAAATCCGCTGACTTTGATGATGATGATGGAGGTGGGCTGGTAAGCTCGACAACATTCTCCTTGTACCCTTTGTCTACTTTCTGTTTAATACTTGTTCTTTAATGACTCTCTTTCTCTCACAGGCGTTAAATGCACAAACGAGGGTTCAGCTTATGCAGAGGCTGGATCGTACAGGTGTGGCAGCAAAGTATGTCTCTGTTGTATGCATAATACTCCTTTACTACACAGATTTTTTTTTAAGTTTAGTGCGTCTCTAACCTATGTAATTTGCACAGCATTGTAAGCCCTTTTGGAGTACCAGCACTAAACGGAACAGCTCTTAATCAACCAAGCATGAATCCTGGTTTCTCCACATCAGTGCTTCCGACAACAGCAATCCCTTCTTTTGTCACAGAGCCTGTTGGTCAGCCAAGTCAATGTCTTCTATTGAAGAACATGTTTGATCCAGCAAGCGAGGTTGGTTCGTGGCTCTTTTCTTTACTTCTCTTTAGAGCTGTGGCAAAAAGACTTTCAGCCTTATGTGAACGGGCTGCTGGCTTTAAGCATTTTTAACATTCAAAACATTATATTGTTGCAGACGGAACCAGATTTTGATGATGAAATTAGAGAAGAAGTTGGTGAAGAATGCTCTAAGTATGGGCAAGTCAATCATATCTATGTAGACAAGTAAGTTCCTATGAGTCTCCCATAAAAATGTCTAGCATATGTGGTGTTTATAGATATGTGATATTGATCTGAGACTTGGTGAAATGCAGGAAGAGCGCAGGTTTTGTGTATCTGCGGTTTGAATCGGTGCAGGCGGCAGCGGCAGCTCAAAGAGCGATGCACATGAGATGGTTTGCACAAAAGATGATATCTGCAACTTTCATGGTAAGATAGATCATTTTCATCTCTCTTATAATCATCTGTTTCGAAGGTTTACTGAATAAGTATCTTTAATTGCAGCCTCCGAATGAATATGAAGCCAAAACCAAGGCGTGAATTGCATGCAAGATAGAGTTGCTTGTTCAGACTCGGTATAAAACCTAAATGGACTGCAATCCATATTCAGTCTCCTTTCTGCAACATGTTATATAAATCAAAAGGTTATTGGAGACCTTTCCTTCCGTTTTAGTTGTAACATTCCCATATGCATATCATAATTTTATTTTATTTTGTTTCAACTGTGTTACTATTTGTTTACACTTCTAAGCTATGAAAGTTACACAGTTTAGCCAGCTTTCCAACACTTGCTAGCTTTCGTGAAAGTTTGTAACATGAAATATATTTAGCTAACCGGTTTAATCAATACTGGTTTTGATGATTTCATATGTACTTCGGTTTAGTAGAACCAAACCGGTTCCAAACACTTTATGTACGCCTTCTGAGAAATCAATCAAATACAATTTAACTTTTTCTCCAAGTTCTCTTTCACTCTATCATCATCAGTTATCACCACTATCGTTTATAATCACTATCATCAAACAAATCCAGCTTCTTTGAGATGATCTCTCTTTCATTTTAGATCGTTTTCTAGACCTGTATTCACCAATCTTCGGATTCTGGATGGCTTTCTAGATTGGAACTAATCTACATCGAAACTTGAAAACCTTAACATAAGTTTAACTTGGCAGTGCGAGTACACATTATCATATGACATATACATAGTACGATACAAAAGCTTATTTCTTTAAAATCATTAAACATTCATTCATATTCTTCGAACTATTTACAAAATTCTCAAATATGATCATAAATGTCTCGGTCTCGCCTCCATGTAAGAAGATCATTATAATGTGATAAAAGAACCCTAAAATCTCGAACATAAGAGAGTTTGTTTCCTCTCATCTTATCACGACCCTAATAGGTCGTGTCGCCATGTAAATGCTCTCGAGCGTCCTAAACTTCTTCCTCTTCTTCGATGACACTACCTTCACGATCACCATTTCTTTTGTGCATTCGTCTTGATCTTCTTCACCGAACAGTTCTTCAATTTTCTTCTTCTTGATTATTCTGAAACTAATCTCTTCGTCGCTTAGCTGCATCAGGTGTTGAGCTGCCTCCGCCGTCTCCACCTCTTCTCGTCTTCTCTTCTCCATAACGACGAAAGAATTAATCTCAGATTGAAGTTAAATATCAAGTTATCTTCTGAAAATGGTTTCTCTCGCAAGTATGGTGTTTTGGTCGACTTTAAAAAAATAATTATTTGTAGTAAATTCCTTGGATGATTACTTAAATGTTAAGAAGGGTTTTAAAATGGCAAATAGGAATCTACGACGTTGTTGCTTGGAAATCTCTCTTTCCATAACATCCTTTTAACTATATTTCGCAAACTCATCCTTTTACTTTGGACTCATTCAATAAATCACCACTTCATTTCTAAATTTGTTTTTTCAATCATAGATGTGATTGGGTTATAGAAATTCACTATTTTAAAATTGCAACATAAATATACGCTTTTCTTCAATAACCAATAAATGTTTTTAACTGAATAAGCAATCTATGTTCTATAAATAACTAATGAGGTTATCATTATCATATAGCAATTCATTAGCAACCATGTCATCTTAGCAAGGGTTTAGAATGTAGTTTCTATAAAATTATGTGGCATGGCTATAATTTTTGGGCAAATATGTTGGGGGATGCTTATTTAGGGTAATCGCAAATCTATACCGTCGGATGATGGGAAAATAAAATCCAACGACTAAAAGAGAACACGTGTGTGTTCTTAGCTAATTAAGAAAATTAAAAGTTAATAGAATATCCATATTTATCCTTTCAGTGGGGCCTTGCCTATTTTGACTTCTTTCCTTCGTCACAAAACGCGTATCTATTCTACACATTGGTAAAGCTTTTTCTTTCCGCTGACTTGCTCTTATTATTAGTTTGTAATTAAACGCCTGAATATTCAGTGAGACTTTTGACTTGTGATTGTGAGGGTTTATGATCTTTTTCTGTAAATAAATACATTTTGCTTTTTTTTAATCTTCGATAGTGGGTCAGTTCTAAGTAATATTTTTTCTTTTTTTTTTTTTGTCACAGTTCTAAGTAATATTTTTTCTTTATTCTCCACTTTATCATTAACTAAAAATGAACAACGTTCTATGCTTGAATTGCTCTAAAGGTTTCCAGTCAAAAAGTCATGTTGACTTTGACTCATTCGTATTCCCAAAAAGTTCCAGAGAGTGAGAGAGAAGCTAGAAGAGAGAATAATTACAGATTCACTTTTGTACGCCCATTAACTAAAGTGTAAACATTCATTTTTGTCTCCACTTACTTTGGGCCTAACATAGGCCCAGTAACCAAAGTGTAAATATCGTGTTGTTATTTTTTTCTTCTCCAAAAGTAAACGCCATTATTGATAACATCTCTCTCTCTCTCTCTCTCTCTCTCTCTCTAGCTGTTCATCTCCCCCAACCACAACAAACCAACTAGCTTTGCTTTGGTCTGTCCAGGACAAAAGCATCCTGTTTAAAACTATTCCCCTTTGTCTTTTTTTTCTTCCAATTGGTTTTGTCTGAAGAATATTTTACCGGAAAAAAAAAAGAAAACTTGGAGAAGAATGATTGAAAAGGAATAAACAAATTCTAAAGCCTCAAATTTGGAATATTCCCATTTCATCTTCCCTTGCTTTATTTCCTTATTGATTTTGCGACCTCTGTTTCATTTTTTTTTTCTCAATCTCTCTGTTCCTCGTAACAGTAAAAAGCTTCATCAAAAGGCTCTTCCTTTCATCGGATTTTAATCCGATTCTTTTTTTTTTCTTCAAACAATTGAATTTGAATCTAAACTTTGTTGGGTTCTCTTTAGATTTTCAATCGTATTGGATTTTAGATCTGTTGCTGTAATAATAACAAATCAGCTGCTCTGTTTTTTTTTATTAAAGTTTGAAAATTTGGGAGGGTAGTTTGTGAATTGTTGTCGTTGCGGCGGTAATGGATTTGGATGAGTTCCGGTCGATTATGGACAAGGCTGGTGTCGATGTTTGGACATTTATCGACACAGCGATCTTAGTTGCTTCTCTTGATTACGGTCAAGAGCTGAAACAGAGGAGAGATAACATTGTGGAGCGTCTCTACGCGACGTCAATGGCTAACAAGTGTAGAAACTGCGATTATGGCGTTGTGGAAGCTGAGGGTGGTAGGGTTAATGGGAGAGTTCATGAGGAGACTGAAGAAGGAGAAGAAGAAGAAGAAGAAGAGGTTAATGGTGAGGAGGAAGAGGATGATGATGATGATGTTGATCCCTTTGCTGGTTTGTTTGATGATGAGCAGAAGAGTATACTTGAAATCAAGGAGAAGCTTGAAGAACCTGATCTGGTCTCTTTCTTGAATCTCAAGATTTGATTCTTTTTTTGTTTGTGTTGGGTTTCAGTTTTTAAAAGGCTTTTGGTTTTTCAGACTGAAGAAGCTTTGGTGGAGTTGCTTCAGAATCTGGAAGATATGGAGATAACATTCCAAGTTCTTCAGGTAGTTAATTAGTTAGTTGAAAATCACATTCAAATACAAAACACTCATTGTTTTCTTTCTTTCAATTATTTTCTTAGTGTTTGAATGGTCTTTGTTTGTTTTCAGGAAACTGATATTGGGAGGCATGTGAATCGAGTTCTTAGGAAGCATCCATCAAATGAAGTTCGAAGATTAGCTAAACAGCTTGTCAAGTTACCATCACACTCTACTCTCCTCAAACAACTTAACAGGCACCACCACTTTTTAGTTCTAACTCACTTCTACTTTTGTCTCTGTAGAAAATGGAAAGAAACAGTAGATGAATGGGTCAAATGCAACCAGTCTGCTGATCTCCAACCTCCTAATTTAATAGGTAAAAAGAAACAAAAACAACACTAATCTTCACAACAAGCATCATTCATTCTTCTTATCAAACTCGTCATTGCGTAGCTGATGAGGACTCACCACAGCAGAGAGCTACCCATAATGGTAATCGCCAACAGGTAAACTAAAACTAAAAACTTTTTTTAGTTTTTTTATGGTTTATCATTGAGCTTCAACTGTTCTCTTTCTTCTGCCAAAGGTTCCTGATTTTGGGTATTCACCGGTTCCTCAGACTCAGAGTAAGTTACTGAACAAGAAATTTTCATACAGTTTTTAATCCATAAAGCTTATTTTGTTTTTTGTTGGTGACAGATGGGTATTCAAGTTCAAGACCTGTTACTGAGCCGGAGAGAAGACCAACAAGACCTGTTGCTCCTCCTCCTACTAGGAGAGAATCTCCTTCTCCTGCTAAACCTTCTCGTCCTTCTCCTTCTCAACAACCCATTCAGGTACAACATTGCCAAACCAGTTTCCTAATATATCATTGTTCAAACCCTCCAATGTTGATGACAGTTTGGTTTGGAAACTAACAGAGGGAGAAGGAGCATAAAGAGATTGATTTTGATACAGCTCGGAAAAGACTAAAACAAAACTACAGAGAAGCTGAGAATGGTTTTATTTAAACTCAGTATCAATCTTGATGTCTACTAACATTGAATTGTTTCATGACTTGACTGTGGTGTTTTATATGTTTTTTGAAATGCAGCAAAAAAGCAAAGGACTATACAGGTGATGGACATTCATGAGATCCCTAAACCTAAGAAAGGTGGATTTTTTCCAAGAAAAGGCGGCAGTTCTCAAGGAGGTGCTAAACGCTGGTAAAGATTGAATGAAGAAGATGATGAGAGTTGAGTGAAACGAGGAAGAAGATAAGATAAAAAGACAGAACAAAGCTCTGTTTTTTTGAGTCAGGCACAAGAAGATGACAGTGAAATCTAAAAATATGTTTCAAGAATTTGGAATTAAGTTGGTGGGTACACTTGTTTTCCATTTTGTTGTTACTAATTATATTTTTTTATTTTGCTGGTAATGAACATAATTTTCTTGGTTTTATGAATATTATATTCTGAAAATCAAGTTTACCATATTACACAATGATGCTTGTATATAAATATTTTCTTAAGAATTTATTCTTTTGCTTAATGCCAATTCATATCTAAATATTTGACATTTTTGGTGTTTGTTTTTGTGCAGATTCACGTTTTGCAGGAATTTTTTTAATTCAATTACTGTCAATGTACATTCAGTTTCTAATAAACGGTCAATGTAAAGTGAGAAATGTTATTTTGCTGAGCTTATCTTTTAGTTTGAAGTTTGAGAAAAAAACGTGTTTCTTTTTGACTTTATGCTATCTAGCCTTTAGACCCATCGTGATGAATGACACACATTTTTATTATGTTTTTGACCGAATCTTTGTGGATAGGCATGAGCTAGCTGTATTCTTTAACTATGGTTTATATCATCTATTCGCGGAATTGATAATAATTAATATTGGCATATTTTAAGGGAACAAGACAAAATTACGATTAATTAATTAGATTAGTCTCTTTTGTTTATCTTAAATTTTAAGTGTCCACTGAGAAGACTCAAGTGGCAAAGATAATCCACCAAGCAACTCCACATGCACGCCACAATTTCATCTGAAACTTTATTACTCTTATAGATGCAAGAAAAAGGCACTAGATTAAATAGTTATTAATTTTAATTAGGGTTTGGCTGACGTGTTTAACACCTACTTATTAATGTTATATACTTCATGGATACCACGTGATAGAAAATCACAAAATATAAACACCAGTTATGCAAGCAACTGCTATTAGATAATGTAATCTTTTTCTTTTAGATAATAAACTAAACTACACTTTAAAGTTTGAACCAATCTGACCTTATTTCCCATTAAGGGTTCGGTTAACCTCAAACCGGCCGGGAGATTCTTCACTAAAACACACTTACACTCACTGGACTTCTGAATCTTTAACAAAAGAATAAGTCTTTGAATGCTTTGGCTTCCTAACGTTGTTCACAAGCTTTCTCTCCACTGGTTGCTCCATCTTAACTTCCCCATTGCTTTTGTAATAAGAATCCAGAATTTGTAATAACGAGCTATCTTTATCATTTTCATTCATCACCTGCTTCTTCTTCTTCGGGATGTCTCTCTCTGAACCAGAATCTTCATCCTCTGAGAGAGATGGTTCATACACTGGAAGCTTCCTGGTCATCGTCTGGTGGCTACTCGTTGCTTCAGAAACTGGACCTAGTTCCTCGAATGAAGAGTCTGACTCATCTTCTTTTGTAGACTTACCACCACTTGTTGAAGGAAGAATGTAACCAGATGATATTCTCACTCCAGGCATTACTTGTAGCAGCGACTGTAGATTCTTGTAACCGAGCTTCTCAACATCTAAATGGTACCCGTATCCCTCTAAGAAGTCTTTCCTGAAACGAATCAAGCTATACCCTTCAGGGCTTTTCTCTGTTATCTTCTTTATCAGCTTCTGACAATCAGCAATTGCATTGCTTTTGTAACCGCCAATAGATACTCCAGCATGAGCAACGTTCTTGAACTTTTTCTCACCGTCTTGTGGTTTTGAACAATCAGAGAATATTAAGCTCAAACCGTTTGAAGCATGACCGTGGCTCGGGGTAGAGTCTTTGACGATGCTGAATGGTATGGAAGAAGAGGGGTTTTCTTCAATCCATTTCTCGTGTGATATTAATAAGGTAACTAAATGAAGCATGCTTGATTCATCGAGCTGTTTAAGGCAGGAAGGCCCTTCCCTCTGCAGATTTTTAGCTATCATCTCCCTGACAGGTTGAAAAAAGAACATAACGTTAGCCAAAGAACCACTTGTAACCCTTTCTATACCGAAGATGGTAGAACATAGAAAGCAATAACTGATTCACAGTCTTTCTAAATCAAAAGGAAGAAAGTGTAAGAACCTTGTCCTTGAGTGAGAAACAATAATGAAGCCTCTTGGAGAATGAATGAAAGATTCAACTTCGTTCCAGGAAGACTCGTTTTCGAAGATGTCATCTACTTGAACCACCTTCTGAGTCCCACTAGGGTCATTGCTAAGCTTTGTGTTTCTTTCCCAGAACTTGAAACTCTTTAGAAGTTGACTGAAAATGCCTGGACTTGCATTTTTATCACCACTGCCTACTTCATCCGTTCCTGTTTTCACATCCTCTGCAGATTTACCGGCAAAGGAAGGTGAGATTTGGGATAAGGAATCAGTTCCCTGACTCGATGATTTTAAGTCCTTATCCTCAACCTTGCCATCATTAACAAATCCTTCGTCCTTGTCTCCACTTCCAGAAGCACTTTTATTTGTTGAAAGATGCACTGATTCCATCTCAGGTGAACCAGACCATAGTCTTTTCAACTTCTGAACAAAACCATCTTCCATGGAATCTTCACTTCCTGCTATAAGAGAGACTTGATTTATCTCCGCAGCTTTATCATTTAACTTACCGTTCTTCTGCTTAACCACAATGGATTCTTGGGAACTCTCTGGTGCTTTTTCCTTGACAGTTTTATCACTCTCCGTTACGTTTACCTGCTTCTTTCCAACTGAGACATCTCTTCCTTTTCTTTCACCAGCAAGCTCTACATCATTCACTAATTTCTGAGTTGAAGCATTCACAGAAACTTTCTCTTTAATCTTCTCATCAACCCGCTTAGGAACTGCCTTTTCAGTAACAGCACGAACAACAAACAAACCATCACTACCTCTACTAACCTGAACCACATCAGGCATAGACTGCAGAAACCTACCAAAAGACTTATGTCCATAAAACTCTTTATCTATAACCACATTACACTTACTCAACTCAGCACGTAGTTCAGAAACAGATAACCCCTTGGGAAACAAACTCAACACCATACGAATCTTCTCAACAACTTCCTCACTTTTCACAACAGACAACTGCTCAGTGGAGGAAGTAGTTGCAAACGGATCAAGAAGAGGAACCCTATAATGACCATACCAAGAATTATAAGGACCATCAGGAGGCTGGTTAAAATACTTACCAGCAACAACACCATCTCCTTTAACCAAACCCTCCCAATCCCACATAATCGAAGCAGCACTACACAAAACACCAGGAGGAGAAGCAGATGATGATGCTTTACTCGCAAGCAAAACATTGTAGTTACTCATCCTCAACCTATGCAACACACTTGCAAACCCCTCGTCGTTAGAGATTAGAAAAACATGAGCTGGAGGTGGGTTCTGAGAAACCCAACACATAAGATCTGTTATCAGAGACCTATCTGCACTATTCTTCCCACCTAAAAGAGAGTTAAAAACAAAAACAAAAAAAACGGTTAAAGCTTTTTTTCCATCAAAACAAATGAAAAATAAGTCAAGTGGTCAAGTGGTAAGGAGGAAGGTTTCGGATGCCAACATGTCTCAGGTTCGATTCAGCTGTTATGCGAAACTAAGTCAATATTATTCCTGGATGAATCTAACCTTGAGGGATATGAGTGAGGTTGATTCCTGTAGAGGAGAGAGCTTCTTGGTTTGATCTAGGGAGGTTGAGAACGTCACCGAAGGCTGTGATTGTGATCGGACCTTTGATTCCGCTGTTTCTGATAGCTCCGGTGATGGATTGAGATAGCTTGAAGACGTTTGTACCCACGGGTAGGTTGCATTTGTCGAAGTCCCACCATACGGAGACTCTAACGGAACGTGAATCTTCGTCGTGTTGGTGGCGACGAGAGGAAGAGAGGTTGGACACGGTGGCTGTTGTGGTGGAAAATGAATTGGTGGAGATTAATCGACGGGGAGGGAGGAGAGAGAGGCGAAAGAGGAGGGGTTTTGATGGGAGAGATCGGAAAATCATGGTCGGAGAAGTTGGTTGAAGCTCTCCGTGTTGATGGATGAAATCGAAAAGGTAGCTGAGGGTTTTAGGAGTGAATGGAGAAAGGAAAGGAGTGCTTAAACCCTATTTTCTATCCGTCGTAAACCGAAATCGAATTGTAATTGAAACTTAAACCGGAGTAAACCGAATTTAAACTAAACCACTGTTATAATTTGAGAAAATGTAATTAGGGTTGTGTGAAAGATTCGTTGTTATCAGAGCGATAGAGATAGAGAGAGAGAGAGAGAGGATGGTGACGAAGGAACAGGTCGAAGCTTCGCTGACTTCGAAACTCAAGCCTATTCATCTCGTTAGTTTTCTTCTTTCAGTTTTCGATCTCTTCATTGATTATTCTTTCAGTTTTCTCTGTGCATATATATATATATATGTTCTGCTTTTTTCTATGAACTTGTAATAATTGGCTCAGAAGGATGTTCTTAGTTCTATGTTGTCTCTCGGGTGTTAGTTCATGGTGGTGGTATTATGTATTGTAGTCTCAGCGTATTGAGATGGTTTTCTGCAATGGAAACATAAGATAATAAAACGTGTTTGTTTGCGTAGTTAGGAGTAATTAGATATGAACTCAGGATCTGACTAAGGAGAGTGTTTTTTTGTATGTGGTTTGTTTGTGGATTCGAGCTTAAAACCAAATGAATTATGTTTAGGGGAGTGTATAGTTTCTTTGCCTTTACAACGTCTGAAGGTTGAAATTGAGTATTATCCAAATTAATGTGTGAAAATAAGTCTATCTTCTTTTGAAGGTTTTTTACTGACATTATCTCATTTTATTGTGTACCAGGAAGTCACTGACATATCTGGAGGGTAAGTTTAGGATTACCAGTATCAAACATCTTTAAATCTCTAGCTTAGGGCATACTCTCGTGTTCTTAATCTTAAGCTAAATCTTTTTTGCAGTTGCGGTTCGAGTTTTGAGGTTGAGGTTGTCTCTGAGCAGTTCGAAGGGAAGAGATTGCTAGAGAGGCACCGTATGGTGAATGCTGCACTGGAAGAAGAAATGAAGGAGATTCATGCTCTTTCTATTAAGAAAGCTCAGACTCCACAACAATGGAAGCCGTCACAAGACTCTGCTACCCAACCCAAAGATGCTTGAACTTAAGGCCTTTTGTGAGAAAAGACCACCAGAGGTTGACTATGTTTGATACTTTTGTGGTTACTTGCAAATCTACAATTTCAGCTTAATTTCTTTTAAAACTGGTTTCGGTTGGGCTCGGATAAGGTTGAACATCCATAACTTCAATATATAAAGGATTTTTAACATAAAATCCCCTCAACTAAGTTTGTTTTATAGAAAAACCCCTAAACTAAGTATTTAATGAAAAAACCTCCAAACACCTTTATTTAGTGAATTAAACCATCGCCAGTCATAATTACCAATGCTACCGGTCAATTTTTAGTTTAGAGGTTTTATCATTAAACATAAAAAATAAAAATAAAAATAAAAAATCAAAATATAATAACATTATCTAAAAAATTTTAATTTTAATTTTCAAAACTAGCATTTTAAATTTTTTTGTAAATATAAGCGTGATTTCTTATCCTTGTAAAATGAATTTTTAACTCTAAAATATCTTAACTACGTTTTTTGGGTAAAACCCCCCAAACTAACAAGTAAACCCCCATACTAAAGATAGTTAAATGGTTTTTATCGTTAAAAATCTAAAAAAAAAATTATAACATTATCTAAAAATTAGTAACTTAAAATTTTTAAATTAGCATTTTTCAAACTTTCTGTAAATATATGAGTTTGATTTTTTTTAACATCAACATTATATATATATAGATTAAAATTTTAAAACACCAAAATATAATAAAAATCATCTAAAGATTTATTATTACATTTTTTACTAAATATAATATAATTTTTATTCTGTTTTCTTGTTTTTATATTTATAACTTTTGATAATTTTTATTACACGTAAATCTTTAGATAATTTTTGTTATATTTTCTTGGTTTTTTTTTTAATTTATACATATATAATTTTGATTTTAAAAGGATAACAAATTAGACTCATATAGTTACAGAATGTTTTTTTTTAATGCAAGTTTTGAAAATTAAAATTATGAATTTTTAGATAATGTTATTATATTTTGAATTATATTGATTTTTATGTTTAATGATAAAACCTCTAAACTGAAGATTTACCGGTAGTACATGTAATTATGATCGGCGTGGGTTTAATTCACTAAATAAAGTTAGTTTAGAGATTTTTTCATTAAATACTTAGTTTAGGGTTTTTACCCAAAACAAACTTAGTTGAGGGGGTTTTATGTTAAAAATCCATATATAAATTACAATACATTATTAGACGGCTCAAAGCCCACCGGTGAAGAAGACATCAAATTCTTTGGAAATTTCGATAGACATTACAAATGTGTATACATTGAAGTTCGTTCATAAAGAAAGTCTATGGTTGTCAGGCAAATACTTGATTGTGTGTGTGTATATGAGTTGTTCAATCGATTAAAGTTATTGAGTGATTTGGTTAGACCGACCATTACAAGTATTTCAAATGGTGGGGACAAAAATAATTATAAATCGGTAGGAAGACAAACAGATTGTGATGTTTTAGACATTTTGTGATTTTGGAAAGAAATAATATTTGGAAAAACCAAAAGCATAACCAATATTATATACGCATTTACACAAAATAAAAACGACAGCTAAGCTGGTCTCCAAACGTAGCAATCGGGGTTGGTCTCCAAACGTAGCAATCGGGGTTGAAACGACAACGTCAGGTAAATTTTCACATTCCATCCATTGTGAACTTTCGTTATGGTTTAAATGACAATTGGATACGAAAATGTGTTCCACACAAATAAAAGATTGTTCTCCGTGATGAACAAAAGAAAACTCAAAACCTCGACCAAATAGAATATGATATTTTTTTGCTTAATAAGGACAAAAAAAACCAGTATCATCACAAGCATCCTAAAGAGAAAATAATAAACAGATGTAAAAAAAAAAAACTAAAAGAACACAAGACTCGAGAGAAGGTTTTTAAAAGAGACCCAAGACAACAACAACCACATAACAACAGATCGTTTCACTTCCCATCTCAACTTTGGGAAATAGATTTGTAAACAACACTGAGACAAGAAACCACTTAGAAGCATTTCCTGTGGACAATCGATGGACCCGACTCATCGTACTCTCCCTTCGAGATCCACATCTGTTTCACACACACACACACAAAGCAAAACATGTTTCAGTATTTTCACTCTCAAATAAGGCTTTATAAAACAAGAGGCAGAATCATTTTTCGTTTACCTGTTGGAAAGTGCTGAGGGATGCAAGGATGGATCCTCCAATCCAGACACTGTATTTCCTCTCAGGCGGTGCGACCACCTTGATCTTCATGCTGCTCGGCGCGAGTGCTGTGATCTCTTTGCTCATACGGTCAGCGATTCCTGGGAACATGGTTGAACCACCACTGAGGACGATGTTTCCGTATAGATCCTTCCTGATATCCACATCACACTTCATGATGGAGTTGTATGTTGTTTCATGGATTCCAGGGGCTTCCATTCCGATGAGTGATGGCTGGAAGAGTACTTCAGGGCAACGGAATCTTTCAGCTCCGATGGTGATGACTTGTCCATCAGGTAGCTCGTAGTTCTTCTCCACTGAAGAACTGCTCTTAGCTGTCTCGCTCTCTTGCTCGAAGTCAAGAGCGACATAAGCAAGTTTCTCTTTGATGTCACGGACGATTTCTCGCTCAGCAGTAGTGGTGAACATGTAACCTCTCTCGGTGAGAATCTTCATTAGAGAATCTGTGAGATCCCTACCCGCAAGATCCAGACGAAGGATGGCGTGGGGAAGAGCATAACCCTCGTAGATAGGCACAGTGTGAGACACACCATCACCAGAGTCGAGCACAATACCTATAGGGAAAACACAAATCAAGCAAGATATTCAGATTAACATGTTTTAAATTTTCTTAGTTTAATGTGTTTCAAAGCTGAACACTAACCTGTAGTACGCCCACTAGCGTAAAGAGAAAGAACGGCCTGAATAGCAACATACATGGCAGGGACATTGAATGTCTCGAACATGATTTGAGTCATCTTCTCCCTGTTAGCTTTAGGGTTAAGAGGTGCCTCAGTGAGAAGAACTGGGTGCTCTTCAGGGGCAACACGAAGCTCGTTGTAGAAAGTGTGATGCCAGATCTTCTCCATGTCATCCCAGTTGCTTACAATACCATGCTCGATTGGATACTTCAAGGTAAGAATACCTCTTTTGGACTGAGCTTCATCACCAACGTAAGCATCTTTCTGACCCATACCAACCATGACACCAGTGTGCCTGGGACGACCAACGATACTTGGGAACACAGCCCTGGGGGCATCGTCACCAGCAAAACCAGCCTGAGCATTTGGCATAAAATTATGATCAGAGGTTTACACAAGTACAACAAAAAGGCGCAGAAACAATATTTTTTTAAACTCACCTTCACCATTCCGGTTCCATTGTCACAGACAAGGGGTTGAATGTCCTCACCATCGGCCATCTTTCACTAAGCTATGGAAAAAATGAAACCAACGAAATTAGATTAAGCTAAAAATAAATGATAATTCCTATCAGCTAATCCGTTTTTTTTGTCAAATAATAACTATGAATACATGACTAAGAATCACATCACAACTTTGTTCAAACAACAACACTGAATATTCACGATCCATGAAATCAATCAAGAGTTTAGTGAACTTCATAGATCTCAACGCGAAAACCGTCAAAGTTCACTGAAAACCATCGAAGCCGTTACAGATCCACGTATAAAACTAATATCAATCGATTATACAACTCTAAAACACGAAATCATCCCTAAAATCCACAGATCTAACGCATAAACCCTAAGAAATCAATGATTGATTACGATAGATCCATCGAATACCGATTGAATCAACATCAAACAAATATATAAACAACTTTCTCATAAAACTCAACGCATGCTTGACAGATCTATCAAAATCAGCATCGCAAAACAGCAATAAACAAAAGGAAAATCAAGCGACGAGTGGAGAAAAGCAGATCTAGAAGACTCACCTGAAACGACGAAGACGATTCGAGAAGCAGCGAAGGAGAGATGAAGCGCAGAAACAACAGCGGCCAGCAACTAGTGAGTAAAGTGAAGTTTGCGATATATACGTGGGTGCTGATATATAGGTTGGATTTTCCCTTCGTTTCACTCTTTCATTTCTTTATTTCATTTTTATTATTCTCCTAATTAAAATTAAGGAAAAATAAGCTACGCTGACCTGGCTTGACTCTTGTTTTAGCTCACCGACGCCTTGACGTCACCGTTAGATTGTTTTAAATTTGATCTCAGCCGTTTATTTGCGATTCACTTCAAATAAATTCACCCGCGAGCCATGCCTGATCATTACGGCTTGGCTAGGCTCAGCTGTTGTGGTTTGAACAGCGTTCAAAATTTTATTCTCGATGATTGCATAAACTTAGCAATAATTTAATAAAATAAATAATTTAAATTTAAAAATATTGCTGACAAACAGACCTATGTGGTTTTTCCCGTGACTGTTTGTGAATATCTATCGAATTTTAAATTTGTATCATATATAAACATGTTTATTTTATTAGGCTTTCGTCTTTGAATAGTGTTGTATCAAAATGTTGCATGAAGCCAAGCTATAAATAAAGAGAGGTGCCATTATATGAAGGAAGCTTTTTACAAGTGTTGTCTTTGAATGATGTATACTAATGTGAGAAGGCAAGGGTCACACAAATTGTATATTTTATGAGGAATTTGTTAGCAGTATAGTCTCACAATATGTTCTGTCTACACATACTATTTGCCTATTTGGTAGTCATGTCCAAAATGAATTTAGTTCAATATTCCAAATTATAATCAGCTTTTGGAATCATTATATTCACAAGAAAATTAATCTTTTAGAAAATAAAGTTCATGCCCCATGTTGGAAGCATGTGCTATCTGCTTATATATACACTTTGCCAATTAAAAAAAGCTGGAAAGTAGTCTCGTTTGGTTGGATGCTTAGATAATCAAAATATAGTTTTTGGGACGTCTCTGATTTTTGATTTCACATTTAATTTCTTTACACTTTTGTCAAATAACATCACACAAAATATATAATTTTACTGTTTTAAGCAGAGATGTAAAAAGGTAAATTCAAAGGGAAGCCAAAGCCGTCATCATTTGTAAGTTGTATTCTAAGGAAAGATAAGTTGAGCGACCATTCTTTCCACTTCAACTTTTACAGTGATTGCAAGTTTTGAGTTACATCTTATTCTTATCTGTAAATAGTCATGAAAATATCATACTCAACTCAAACTTTGTTTTCTATGGGAAACAATTAGGTGACTTCATTTCCTTTGGTACATCAAAACAAACGGGCCAAATTATAATGGACTCAAAGAAGATAAACAACATATTTGGGCATAGATATGTAGCCGTTTCGGTCCAGTCAGTAACACTAAGACACAATGATCCATCTATCTTCGCGGATTATCTCATGTTTTTGTCCAAATTGATATATGCCAAGTACATAGCTATTTTGCCTAGTATTTGTGTCCAAGTGGTTTAAGTAACCCGATAAAAAATCTTTTAGATCTTGTATGACCTGGCTTGAATTCGAACTTTAGAAATACAAAGTCTCAGTTCAATTCTCCATGCTGAAAATAAGATATGATCTAAAGAAGAAATATATCTTGTGTGAATAAGTCCTTGTGTATGTATTATGTTTTTTTCATTATATAAGATTGCATATCTTTGGAGAAATATACGTTGAATCTGTAAAACACCGAAACACATGTTTTATGTGATCGCGGTACCGTTGTTTTGTTTGTTTGCTTAAGCTAATTGTAGTTAGGTCTTTATTCATGGTCATGGAGGTTGTCAGAGTTTTGACGGTGATTCATCGGAATGTATCATATATATCGTTAGGGACTTTCACATTATCTCAAAGTAGTAGATCAAGTAGATTTTAACTCGAAGATAGTATAATCATAAATAAGTTGTGTACGTGAATATTTGTAATTTTTCGAGCATTACTCGTTTTTAAAGTCGTTTTTAAAACTGACAAGTCTTTAAAAACATATATAATATGGATACTAGCTTAAATTTCAATATATAATGTATAACAAAATCCGTATGTAGCAGCATACGATCAATAATACTGAATCACTAATCAAATATCTAGTTTTTGGCACGAATATGTTTGTCGATGCGTGATATGGATAGGTTATCGATTTATAGGTATTATGTAACAATAATTCCCGTTAGTATATATGATTCGAAATAATAGAGACCTTCCCTCTCAGACGGGGTACACCGCACGTGTACGTAAACGTGGACAGGGGTACACACGCACGCATGAACACATCACATGCTGCATATCCATCGTAATATACAACTCTAGCATTTGTCACATCGTATAAGCCAATTTTGCTTATTAATTTATTCATCGGCACACGCATGCTTCGATTAGTACAGCATTACAGGTCACCAAGTTCTGGTATGTAAACTAGACTCAGTATTACAACAAAGACTTCCAATACCAAACAAGAGATACAAGCCTGTACTCGTAAGTACTGATATTTTATTCGTTCTTGTAAGAACAGGACAGTGACTACTGACGTTATGTAAGAAAAGAAAAAAAAGCAAGTTTCATGTTGGGAAATCATGAATAAAAGAGTGGACTTCTAAAAAAAAAAAAAAAAAAAAATGTTGGGAAATCATTGGTTTAATAACAGATAAAATATATTTTTACCACTTGTGGACTCTCTTTATTTTAGCTCACGCCTAAATAACTTTTAATGACCTAAAATCGTAGTAACCGAGACAAGAAGTTAAGTTTGGGTCAAGGGACCTTAATGTTCATGAAAAGTATATATCATCACATGGAAGTCCAATAAAGTTATTCAAAGTTTGGATGAGAAACAAAAGAATACATATAATTGATTATTTACAAATTTATGCAGAACAATGCACGAACCAATAGTAGTTTACTAACCACAAAAAAACGTTCAAAGAACATCTAAAAATCTAAGGAGATATCACATCAAATCCTCCAATAAGAATCTGGATCCGTTGCTCAATCGCATTCACAACGACTCCTCAATGACATTATTCACTACAATTAAACAAAAAGGATAGTTCCAAGGTACTCAATTATGTATATAAGGCCAAGCTTAATCACACGTTTTAGTTTTAATTGCTGTATACTGTTAGAAACTGACCATTCTTCGACGCACGAACACAGATTATTAGTAGTACTTGTCAAGAAGGCCATTGTATGATTTTTTAACATATTTTGAGTTTCGACTTATACACCACGCATGTTGTAGTATTGTGGTTTAAATTCCAATTTCCTCTTGACGGTATATGCCGTATATATAAATTTATAGATGACACGTACTGTATTTACTTTCTTTCGATCCATTTTTAATTGATTAAAAAGTCTTATAATATTTTCAAATATATATGGAAGAAGGTAAATATACATTGTATGCCGATTAACGTTTAATTTGAGAGTTAATTTGGTGGTTCCCAAAATTATCAATCGGAATTGTATAAAAAAATATTTTACCTAACGAGTCGGTGATCACATAACCTATATTGAGTGGGACATGATACAGTATCATCATTAATCCGGATTAATTAGCGATTAGGACATTGTATACGAGTCTTATGAGAACGAACTTTCCTTATAGAAAGGTCAAAAGGAGTAATAATTGTTTACTTAGACGACAAAGACCCTTTTTATATCTCCTCCTTTACACTTTCGTACGTGCAATAATTCAATGGATCTAACAAGTTCCAATATTAATGAAAAAAACAATGCATGTTGTGTTTCTACATGTTTTTTTTTTTAACACTGAATAATTATGCATTACAAACTATGTGTTTCTTCATGTTTATTCAAACATTACTATATTAAAATTTTAAGATAATTTGATTATGAATAAGAACAGTGTAAAAGAGATCAAGCCAATAAAAAGAAAACATGTGAACTAAAAGTTCTCCACTTTCTTTGGTAATCTCCTTAGGAACAATCGATTATGTTGTTTTTCATTGTTTCTCTCTTACTTTTTAGTTTTTAATTGATATTTTTTTAGAAGAAATCTTCTCACATATCCACAGCATTTCCAGAAATAACATATTAATATTATATTTACATCAGTTTAAAGTTTAAACCACAAAAACTTACAGAAAAAAAAAAGAGAATGATTAATCAAATCTTTTGAGCTTCAAGGAGGAGTCATAGTAGTACTACTTAAACCGATGTCATTGTGTTTTCTGGAAGGGCCAGAAGCTGGAACCGGAAACTGACGTGGCAGGAACCCCAAAAACTGTACATTTTTGTGATCTTGTACTTGACGATTGTGATGATGATCGGGTTGTGTGGGTGGTGAACTCGTGTAGAACATGTTCGTGGTTCTAGCTCCATTGCAGCAACTCAAAATAACAAGAAGAAGACCGAGAATAAGGATGGTTCTCCTGTGTTGGTTGGTTCTTGGTCTGCGGTTTCGAGAAGACATTTGATGATTCAAAGATTGGAGGAGACGATGAGAGAAATGAGAACGAGTGAGAGAGAGAGAGAGTGGGAAAAATATTTTGTTTGTTTGAAGGATTTTTAGGTGGAACTATTTAATATTTAAAGGCGTTTTTTTTTTGTTGATGGGTGATGGAATGAAAAAGAGGAGGTTGTGAATTGTTGACAGCAAGAAATATGGGCACATCAAGAGAGAGATTGAATGTGATTGAAAGATGTTGACTTGTGGTTATATTCGTATGTTTTTTATTTATTTACTTATAGTTCTGTTCGTGCGTATGTCTCTTTTATCTCAGGAAACTACAGAAAATACAATCCAAACTAATCATGGATTTTTCGTCGTTAAGTAAAAACCCTCACTGAACCTAAACAGTCTATTAGGTTTAGCGTTCTTTATAGCTAGTCTTTATTAGGTTAACGGGTAATAACCACATACTAGTTATCAAGTTTCTAATTTTCTTTAAGAAAAAACACATTTTCCATTTGTTTATTTTTATTGTCATTATTGTTTTCTTTTTATTAATAAGTAATATATTTTCATATACGCAAAATGTAAAAGGAAGTGGCGACAAAGAGAGAAGAAAATGACATTAAAAATAATTAGTGGTGGGTCAATTAGCAAAGCTTTTTCACTGGATATTGTCCAAGAAATATGTTTACCTAGCTAGCTAACCACGCATTTGCATAAATACTTTTGTTATATAGAATAAAAGATTGACATTTTACATAAAAGCAAGTTCGAGTTAAAACATGGCTCGAATGTAACTCAATACAACTACTATACCACAAGACACGGAACAACCAATATACAGTACTCGACGTTTCTGCCATTGAAAACTGTTTACTAATGAACATTGGTCATCAATGCATGTAATCTACGTAGAGCCCGTAGATTTTACTAAATAATGCAAACCTGATGAATTGTATCCTCTTTTGCGGCATAAATATTTAAGTGGGATGGCTTTTATTACCGACAAGATGTTAGAAGAATCGAAGGAAACTGAAAATAGAAGGCAACAACAGTAGTTTATGTCAGAAGAACAACAAATAAAAAAGCTTGTCCTATTCAAGTCCCAAAGCATTACTGTATCCAAACTGTTGAATCTACTGCTACAGCCCGCAACGTTCGTGCACACGTTTTCTTCAGTGCATCACTCTCATTGAAGTTTTTTCTTTGTTGGTATGTGTCTATAATTAATGTTTGTTGTCGCAGGTCGGGCCATAACGTTTGCAATCTACCCATTTAAACATCCATTTTCTCCTTGGCTCAGTTAAACCAAATCAACGTATGTTATTTTTAGTCCTTTAAATCAAATCCCTAATGGGCTGGATTGTGTTACAAAAAAAACAAATGGGCTGGATTAAATAGCCCACTAAGTATTTTTCTTTTCTCTTCACCTTTTTTATGATTTTGTGTTCTTTGTAAACATTCCAAGTTGGCAGGCACCCAAGAGACATCATCCTAGTGTGATTTACTGGTGAATGCATTAATGCCACATTTATGTTATTTTTTCAAAAGATTAATAATCATTAATAGGCTTTAAAACATTGAAATGTTTATATTTTCTATAACATTTTCAAACATTTTACGTGAGAAATAAAACAATACAGTAAATAGAAGAAAATACATAGTAAATCACCAAAAATATTCATTTTATAACTTTATATATGAGTTTTTTGTTTGTTTGAACTTTAAGACAAGCACAATCTGCTGCCTACCAGTCAAGTTTGAAATTGTCAAAGGTCAAAAAAAAAAAAAAAAAACCGGAAAAAAAGGGAAAACACAAAACAAGAACCCAAATAACACTCCAGGTGATGCGCACATCAGTATTCAATGCTCACACACGGTGTGCACATTAGCCCCAACTAATCCAAACCCCATCTCCGGCGACTCTTCATGGCCACGTGGAACTCCTCCTCCTCCCCAGCAACGTCTCCTTCCCGTCATCTCGTCTCCTACAGGAGAAGAACCAAAGCTTCACCACCGAGACGACCTTCCTCCTCCGAATCTCCACCTAGGAAGATGAGATCAATCGCCGATGTAATGGCGAAATCTAAACCCGTCGTTGAACAGGAGCAAGACGATAGCTTTTGTGACGTCACCTGTGAGAAATGCGACTCGGGAGAAAGAGACGATGAGCTTCTTCTATGTGACAAATGCGATAAAGGGTTTCATATGAAATGTCTTAGACCGATCGTGGTTCGTGTTCCTGTCGGACCGTGGGTTTGTGTCGATTGTTCCGACCAACGACCTGTAAGAAGTAGGGATCTTTTTTTTTTTGTGTCTGCTTGAAAAATTGATCTCAAAGTTTCTAACTTTTGTATTTTTTTTTATTAAATTTTGTATCTTTGAATGTTTTAGGGCTATCTCAGAAGAAGATTATGCATTTCTTTAGGATTGAAAAGCAAATTGATCAAACGGATAAATCACAGCTGAGTCAAGGTATGATTTTTGTTATTTGTCTAAATAAGAATCTTGACTTGATAAACAGCTTTAATGAGTATGAAAGAGCTGAACTTTAGTCTATAATGTTCTTGAAAATCTTGATTAGTCTGTTTATGGTTTAGGGTTTAGTTAATACTTAAGAAGCAACATTGATGAGAACTACTAATGCTTCCTTGATTACTGACTTCTTTTATTTGTTATGAAGAAGAAACTAGAAAGCATCGGAGACGGTCTTGCTCCTTGACTGTGAAGAAGAGGAGGAGAAAACTATTACCTATGGTTCCATCAGAGGATCTTGAACAGAGGCTTGCACAAATGGGGTCACTTGCATCTGCTTTAACAGCATTGGGTATCAAATACAGTGATGACTTGACTTATGTTCCTGGAATGGCTCCTCGGTCTGCTAATCGATCCAAGTTCGAGAAAGGTGGGATGCAGGTACAATACAAGACAAACCTTTCAACCCTTTTCAATAACTCTCTTAGTTAAAGTTACATCCCTAAGTTTTCTCGGTTTTGTGCAGGTGCTTTCGAAAGAAGATTTAGAGACATTGGAACTGTGTAGAGCTATGTATAGACGAGGAGAATGCCCTCCTCTCGTTGTGGTATTCGATCCACTTGAAGGGTATCTCTGGATTCATTTGATCAAATCTTCCCTAAATGACAAAGTGTAGCTATAAACATTATTATTTTGTGTTTCCGTCTAAAACAGTTACACAGTTGAAGCAGACGGTCCAATTAAGGACTTAACATTCATAGCTGAATATACAGGGGATGTTGATTACTTAAAGAACCGTGAAAATGACGATTGTGACAGCATCATGACTCTTCTTCTATCTGAAGATCCATCTAAAACTCTTGTTATCTGTCCTGACAAGTATGGAAACATATCTCGCTTCATCAGTGGCATCAACAATCACAATAGGTAAAACCAAGGTTTAGTATCTCTATCCAACTTTGGGAATCATTGCATCATCATCATCACATCACTTGATGGTTTGCAGGTTTGGTAAGAAGAAGCAGAACTGTAAATGCGTGAGGTATAGCGTGAATGGCGAGTGTCGTGTTCTTCTAGTGGCTACACGTGATATATCGAAGGGGGAGAGGCTCTATTATGACTACAATGGTTATGAGCATGAGTATCCTACTCATCTCTTCCTCTGATCTCTTCTTCACTTCAAACAGTTTGAGAAGAGTCTCTGGATCAATTGGTCTTTATTTTATTGCAAATTTACAGGTCAAAATTAGAATACGTAGATTTATAAACTGCATGGCCTTTGAAGAGGTTATGCATTCTTGATTATGAAGTTAGTTATAGACTAATTAGAACTTCTTTTGCAGTACCTTTATTCGATTTCAAAATGAAAAATTTAACTTATTTTTCTTTGGATAACTTTGCAAAATAATATTTATTTATTTTATACTTCCTCATTATGAACTTGTCACAATACTGGTTTGCAAAATGTAAAACTAAGCAAAATTAAATCTCTGAAACTTGTAGTTGTCAGTTGTCACCTTATATAATGCTACTGAACACAATAAATATTTACCCACCTAACTAGGTCTGGACAAAAAAATCGGAACCGAAGAACCGAATCAGAACCGAACCGAGACCCTCAAATATCCAAACAATTTTTATATTTATATATCCAAAATGTTCAAACCAGAATCAAACCGAGAATCAAAAGGATATCTAAATATATAATAATATTAATTTTATATACATATAACATAACTAAATATATGATTTTAATTTAAAATTTTACTAAAAGTATCCAAAAATAGTTGAAGATACTAAATGATTATAGAGTATCCGAACTACGAATAGTTTTATCCAGAATTTGTATCTAATTCGTTCTAATTATTTGATATGTTATCCTAAATAACCGATAATTTATCAGAACTACCCGAACTCGAACCGGAAGCAAATGAGAACCGAATTTTTTAGGTGTTTTTTTGTTCATGCTTTTACAATCCGAACCGAACTGAGCCCGAAACTATCTGACCTGAACCGAACGGAAAATATTTCAAGTAGTAAATGGATCCTCTAACTCTCTACCTGAACTACCCGAACTACCCGAAATCCAAAATATCCAAACCGAACTGATACCCGAAACGAACAGGCCTATACCTAACTATTAAATCACTGGTTTGTCTAAACCAAGTGTGTTTATAAGAAAGGAAATTAGTCCAAAACGGTATGGGTATACTTAAGGGCCCAAAGCCCAGCCCATTACTAAGTTACGCTGCTATGGACTAGTTGGTCATACTTTGGGCAGGTGTATTGATTGAATAGAGAGAACGACCTTAGGCAAGAGTCCAGCAACACTTCAACCACCAGAACGAGTGCCGTTGGACCCATGGGCAAAATCTCACTCCCACCTCACGTAGCAGTTTCTCTACCATCCATTATTTGCCATAATATGTTACAGTTAGCTTTTCTTTATTGGTTATGGACATTATTAACCGGTCTCAAGAGGCGTGTTAGGCTCAACAGTAAAAGTTTTTCTCTTCCTCTTATTTCTACAAGATTAGGTTAGAGTTTGTGACCAGTCATCTCTTGATCTGTGGCCTATAGACCTACCAAAACAATAGAATTATCTGCCTAATGTATGGACACCCACCTACTTGCAAGTCTTTAGGTCAACCACTTAAAAAAGCCTTAACGCTAAATTCTAAATTGGTTTTACGATTGAAACCTACTCTTCTTTGAAACTAAACGGTTTTTTACCTGCCATGTACCAGTTTCTGCAACCTCCATCGTCCTCGTGACTTTTAAGGCCAACTCTCAAAACATTCAAATGATGATGATGATGTCTACTTCGTTGAAAATTTACAATAACAAACTCTTCTTTAACGTCAAGCAAAAACCATCATACGTTTCCCTGATCGCGTCACTAGAAATTCTCCTCCATACTCATTCATAATTTCAAACCCAACATGCTACACTTTGATAGCTAGATCCAGTGATAATTAAAAGCAAAAAAAAAAAGCTTCATTCTATATTTGCAACTATATTATTTTACTCAATTATTTATAAAGATCTGAAACTTCAATTGATATAAACTAATACAAATGCCAAAGTTTGGATTTATTTGTTTTAAAAAACTTTCTTCTCTGTTCTTACAAAGCTTTCTTTCAACTCTTTTTAGTTTAGACTTGATTCAACCAGACATCGGCCACTCATTGGCTTGAATAAAGTTACCCACTGAATACATATCAACATGCTCATCTGGAATCACACTACTCCACGGAACCCTTGTAGACCTATCAGAACCTGGACCCGTGTTCTTAGATTCACCATAATAAAGCGTTTTAAGCGACAAATCCCCACTCCAAGGTAACCACCCATCAGGACTAATCAAATCCCCTAAGTTACACCCAATAAACACCGTCCTCGAGTAATCTTTCCATGGCCTTCCCAAGTAGCTCCTATGCACCTTAGGGTTAGCTTTAAACAGCTTCATGTACTCCTCCGTTCCGTTTATCGAACAGTTCAAAAACACGAACCCCGTGGACTGTGCCGGGTCTACTCTTCCTTGGGCAGTGACGGCATTTTTCTCACCTTTCTCCGGTGTAAGTTGACGCGGCGCGATTATGATCTCGCAGTCTTGGAAGACAGACGCTGCGTTTCCGAAGATGAAGTCGACGTTTCCTTGGATACGACATTTTTTGTAGAACTGACGAAGGCCATGGGTATAGAGTGTGTCTTGGTTCCCAAGGAACTCACAGTTCTCGAGCAGAGAAAAATCGCTGTCTGATCTAAACGCAACTGCTTGATGAGTGTCTGGTCCCGCTGTGTTCTGGAATGTTATATCACGTGCCATGAATCCATCTCCTACCACTCCTATCAAACCAAACATGTAACAGTAACAGTATGTTAGATTTTAAAAAAAAAATTTAAATAACTTAGTTTAATAATTTTTTTTAAAAACAAATAGCTTACTTTAATAATAGTTTACCGCTTACAGTCCATAATTAAATATATATTTTAACAATACGTTTAATCAGTGTTCTATAAATTTGTAGACGACAATTAACATCTATTTAACCAGTAACTTGCACCTAAACTAAACATTTTATTAGTTTATGTTAAAAAAAATCAGTTTAGACGTTTAAAAAGTTGTTCTATATGCCCGCCTAAACAACAATTTCAAGTTCCATGATTAACCACATTTTCTAATTAGGATTCTTAGCTTCCATTAAGAGTAATCTAAGAAAATTTAAGGACCATCTTTTAAATAAAATATAAAAAAACCGTCTCTTATCCGAAAAATGTGTGAAAAAAATCAAATTATGAGTTAAAAACCCCGACTAACAGACCGGGTTTAATCATGTCTTAAACCGCCTATGCTCTTATAATTCAAAAAAAAAAACTTACCAACAGTTGGAGTGTTGTATGTGGTGATACCAGGCATACCGGCGTTCAAAGACCCTGTAATGACCGTTTTGCCCATACCGTCTCCAATGAAGACAACGTTCACCTTCTCAAACGGAACCCTAACGGTCTCCTCGTACACTCCTTCGTTAATCTTAATAACAAACTTACGCGTTCCATTGTTATCAGGCGCCGCGTTAACCGCATCCTGCACCGTCTCGTAACGACATGTCCCGTTTTTACACACCGTAACGTCTTCTTTCAAGCCCGCAGGGAAGCCCAAACTCGGCCCAGTACCAAACTCAGGCGCAGTCTTATCCCAAAACCCGTCTCTCTCGGTTTCCGGGGGAGTCCACGAGGCCACGTTGTCTCCGTAGTTATCGTACGAAACCATCATGCTAAGCGCGTTACTAGTGACGTTAATGAGACCGTTGAGAAACGTCATCGTTTCGACGACTTGCTCCGTGTCGTTGACGTATTTGAGCGCGGACCAGGAGTCGTACTTGTAGACGAGAGATGCGCTAAGCCAAGCGCGAGCGTCTTTGATTTTGCCACGTGTCAGAGCCTGATCCGTCGATAGGACGCGGTGCTCGGAGTAAGAGAGTAGCTGGAGGCACGTGTTCGCGGCGTTGGTGCGGTTTAGATTGCCTGCGGAGGCGTCTAGGATGGACTTCACTTTGGCTTGAGCGGTTTTGAGGTTTTGTAATGAGACGGAGATAGCTGAGTGGATGATCTGTGATGGGTTAGGATCCGAAGGGAGTAGACCCGGTTTGGATAGAGAAGAGAGGCAGATGTCAGGGTAACGTGTGGCTTTGCATGCGAGACGGATCTGTGAGGCGGGAGGCGGCGTTTGTTGGGGACGGGAGGAGGAAGAAGGAGAGGCGAAGAGGAAGAGAGAGAAGAGAAGGATGAGAATGGATGACATGATGGAATGTGGTTTCGAATAAGCAATTAGAGAATTGGTGTGTATATATAATAAGTGTGTATATGTTTGTTTATGGAAATGAATTATATTATTTTCTGAAATTGGGAAGAAATATCGGAAAATTTATATGTTGATTTTTAAGTCACACATATAGAGTCACGGGAGCAAAGACGACCGGGGGGACAGAGATTGGAATTTTATGGGTTGACCTTTTGAAAATCTTACTATATATTAATTGAAAAGTTTAATCATATCTATATATTAATTAAAATGTATACTATTTGAGAGGTCATTAATTCACTTTTGGTTAGGTATCAGCTATAGATGATTTTTTTAAAAAAAAAAAACTTTTAATTGGAATGATTGATAATTTTAATTCTATCTAAAAATTGTGACCGGAATAAATAGTTTTATTTTTATTTTAATCATATCTAAAAAAATACTTCAACAAATTAATTAATATTAATTTGACATATTATCCATCTAATCTTACACATAATCATTTATATTAGCTAACTGTAACTATTATGAAAGTTATATAACGTATCATAAATATTTTTTATTCATAAATTATATTCTAAAAAGTAATTAATCAAAGGTAATATAATAGCTTTTCCTATTATAAATCTTGGTTAAAATACCTTTATTTTATATTTATCCTAATATAATATAAAAATTATATTAACTATTAATGTATTGCAAAATCATTCTTCAAATATTTTATTCAATGAAAAATACATGTTCAAATACTTTAAATATTTGAACATTCAATAAACTAAAATCGTATCATATCATTTTTAATACAAAGAACAAATTGATTATATTTAAATATTTTTATTATTTAATTCTTATCCTATATAAATTTATTATGCATCATTTTTAATGACTAATATTATTGTTAAAAAAAATCCATTCAGATTTAAATAATTAAAACTTCTATTTATACATAACATTTCCTTTAGTCTATTTAACATAAATTAATGAAATAGTCATTTTTAATATTATTCTATTTTATAGATTTTTTTCTTTCAACTTCTATTTTATAGATTTTATATAGAAAACAAACTTTCTACAAAAACTGAATATGTTTTTGGTTAACCCAAAAAAAAACAATCAGATTTTTGGGCTGCTCATTTTTGAATGACAATCTTTTGGGCTTGGATTACCCAAATATGTACGTATACCTATGGCTTTAGATTAAACACGAGTGTTGCCAACTTACCATTATTAAGCAAAAGTGCAAAACACACACGCAGACCCTCAAGTAAGTCCCCGGGCTTAGTCTGAAAGTCTTGCTGCCTCTGATGTAGAGGAATAAACCATTTGGGTTTGGAATAAATTTCTTACTAATATGGTTTTAATTTTACAAATACAGTTACTATTTTTGTACTAAAGAACCACAGCAACATAAATTGAATAGTAAAGCTTGCCATTGGTTCAGTTTCGTCTCTTTAATTATTTATCTCCCCCCAAAGATTAAAAAAAAACAACTAAAGTGCAAACTCATTAAAGGGCTTTCAATATCACAACACTTTTGGACCAAACAAGAGACTTCTTCACTTTCTAAACAGCAGCTGCCCATGCCTTGTAATCACTTTTCTAGACTTATAGATCTCGCGAAAAACAGAAAAATGCAGTGTTTATAGCTCTTACCATCGTTTTGTCAAAAAGCATTACAAATAAATTTGTGGAATTATATTTTTCATGTTTCCAAAACATTTTTCACAGTTTTTATGTCAAAAAGTCATATTTGTCATATCTCCAAAATATTTATCGACATGGTTAACCACTAGGAATTGCATCATAGCTGGCATAGTGGCAGAAGGGAAAGTTGGAGGAGATGCCAAACTTGATTTCATCTTGTTGGTCTGTAGCTGTGAAATTTGATACTGATAAAGTGAAATCACTATATTACAAGGTGTTCAAACTTAGAAACATATAATACTGTTTTTATTTGTTAGTTCCTCTCCATGGTGCAAGCAGATAAAGTGAAAAAAGCGAGAAGAAGAGTAGTCGCTGTTAATACCAGACTCTGAGGAAATGAGGTTAGGTCATTGGGAATCGTAGCAGAATATTGTATTATCGCTACTAATTAAAAACACACGCGCATATTTGTTAAAATATCAAATATCCTGAACTATATAGTGTATTAATAAATAAAAATCGTTATTCAATCCTTTTATATATATACGCTGTAATTTAAATGAAAAATAATGGAGATCTGTCAGAGTTGATGATTCAGTATTCCTCGGAAAATGATGCCTATATATTTCCCTCACTCACGTGTATATGTACTACATACATTTACATAATTAGATTCATCTAGCTAGGGTTTACAGTTACAGTTTACAACGGACGAAGAATAAGGTGTTTTTGAGATGTCACTTGGTTCATATCATAAACTTAATTTTAGTGATAATCGACTGAAAAACATAATAGCATAATTTTAGTACAAGTGCAAACAGGGCCGGTCTAACTTTTTTTAGAAACTTGTATAATGCCATTCAATCAAATTATTGTAGAAAATTCGGATGTATAGTTTCTTTTACTTATGTCCCAGACCGGGCTTGAGTGCGAAAAATACTACCTAAATATGATCAAAGCTTGTGTGTATAAGTAGATTTACATGTGTATGAAGTTGGCGGTTGGGTGGTTTTGGTAAGAACAATATACAAGTAACAGTGTAATGTCCGAATCCCCTATCATCCATGATTGCAGTCTGCAAGCGCAATTTGCAATTTGTGTGATCGTAATGCATAAATAATCATAACATATGTGCAAAAAATAAAAATCCTTCTCATATATGTAGATGTTATACGTTGCTTTTGAGATGAGGCATAGGACATAAGAAACTTGTCACAATATTACATCAGGACCATCATATCTGATATATATTAATATATTAATTATAATATAGCACAAGTGAACTAATTGGACCATAAGAAACGATACCATCCTCTCCCTCTTTTGAAGTCTCATAAAACTTTCGTCCAATTTACGAATTTGTGTATGTTATATACATATATATACATGAACGTAAGTGGTTACGTAGATGTAAACCTTAAAATAAAATGTAGGAATTTTGTTACACGTCTTTCTTGTTAACAACAATCAAGGATAACACCCAAATCTAGATGATAATGTCCCCATGAGAATGATTTGATGTGATCCTTTAAAGTTTAATTTAATCACGTCGCAGATTATATACAGCTTGTGGAGAAAAAAGCAAGTTGATAGTTGTTTTAAATTTATATATATAGCATTGCGAGTCTCACATACAATAATAATGGAATCACGATCGTTGATTGGGATATGAGTGTACGATCAACAAAATGTGCTATTTGGTGAAGAGACAAGGTAATGGGAGAAAACTTATCAATATATCCTATTTTGAGATGAATGTGATTTGCAAAGAGAGAAGGAGATAAAGAAATTGAAAATTGAGAAGTCAGAATAAGAGCACACAAGTGGTGACATCTTTTGAGAATCAAAGAGAAACTCATGTTCATATAAAGGAATTCACATCCTTATTCGTTATTACTTTGGTAAAAGCCACTTTCTCGATCTACCCTAATTTCAAGTCTCAATCTAAGAGAACCCTAGCCAGGTTTTTTGTAATGTAAATTTTGTTAAGGAGTGAAAGGGCTTGTAATAATAATTTATACAATTAGCATGAGAAATAACTTGATAGGAGTTGCTCTTTTAATTAGAAAGCATTGGGTGCAAAAGTGCAAAACTAGCTATAGACATTTACGTAACTGAATATGACTATATTATAAACATTTTGGAGCATTTTAGGTACTTCTTATTCTGTTTTAAACAATTGAATTTATTGTAGCGGCTAGTGACGTCCACTTATTGAAAATAAGAAATATACAATTTCCTAACTATTTTTTTCGATCCTTATTGCATCACCAACCTAACCCCTCATCATATGATGATCACCTTTCCCCCTTTAAACTATACGCACATCCACACACACACATATATACCCCTTAGAGGCATTTAAAATCAAACAAACATAAAAGTATGAACAATAATAATGTGAACCCATCTCTCGACCAGAATTACACTTGGAACAATATCACCATGAACAACAAGTATGATAGCCATCATCATCATCATGACGATTCGATCGGTATGGCGGCCATGGACCAACACACTCAACTCCACATCTTTAATCCTTTCACTTCATCTTCTTCTTCTCATTTCCCTCCTCTCTCTTCCTCCCTCACAACCACCACGTTTTTCTCCCGAGATCAAGAAGAAGGCGAAGAAGAAGAAGAAGAGCCTGTAGAAGAACTCAGTGCTATGAAAGAAATGATGTACAAGATCGCAGCCATGCAGCCCGTAGACATCGATCCAGCAACCATCAAGAAACCCAAACGCCATAACGTTAGAATCTCCGACGAGCCTCAGAGCGTAGCAGCAAGACATCGACGCGAGAGAATCAGCGAGAGGATCAGAATCCTCCAGAGACTCGTCCCAGGTGGCACCAAGATGGATACAGCTTCAATGCTGGACGAAGCCATACGTTACGTTAAGTTCTTGAAACGGCAGATAAGGCTTCTCAATAATCCTCTTACGCCGCAAGATCAAGCTTCTCAGGCGGTGATGACGCCATGGGTTTCGCAGCCACCACCATGAGATTGATATAGTTAAATCAGGTGAAAATTCCATTAATAGTAACTAAACTTATGTTGTAAACCATAAATTGTGAGTTATGGTTCAATTATGGAAAGTGTTTATATATAAAAATGGACACGAAGTAAGAGTTTGTTAGGATGCGGCTATAATAAATTGTTGTTGACCGAGAAAAGGTTGTGGAATAATCATAACGGTTAGCTTGAGCTGTGTACCACCATATATATATATAATACATATGTTTTTTTAATATGATATTTATGTTAATATTCATAAATATATTAATATGGTCTTGATTTGTAGTTTGGTTGTATATAAGTTTTGCCCGGGCGTTTTTTTGGAACAGAAACCATGACGCCATGAAAAGATCTTGTTTAACCAGTGTTATCATTACTGTAGACTTTTTGTCTTTGAATACACACAATGTATAAGTTTATAATATATTACATCATAGAGCAGCCATATATGAATCATGAATATACCCCAATGTTCCATCTCTAACACACATACGTATATACACATATACATAGTGTCGAGATACACACATCATGTAAATAAGAGAGCATATTGACACATTTGTTAAGAGGATGGCGCCGAGAAAATGTACTTGCTCGTTTGTCTTTAGAATTAATGAATCGAAGTCCAGTTGCAATCTCTTTTTACCTTCCCAAGAATAAAAAGAAAAACCTTTGACAACAAACAAACTTTAAATGTAACCAGAGCTTTGCTCCACACTTGTTGGTCAGAAGGAACAAACACTTTGTTGACTCCACTTGGATATTTCCGCTGACTTTTGTGTCTCCTCACATTCATAGGTGTTACTAACACCGTGTTAGTAAAGATATAACGAAATGTCAGCGAGATTGAAGGAAACATATCCATTTTGTTAAGAAGTCATTTCATTTTCTTTATTTTGTTTTTAGAAACATATTTATAAAACGTAGTGGTAATGGAAACTTCAGCTGGAGTGTCTGTCCTGAGTTCGAGTCGTCTTAACCACCTTTTCACTTATAACCGTATATGCTCGGATGAAAAGTTTTGTAGGAATTAGTATGGGTTTACCGTTTGGAACCCCACGGATATAAAAAAAACATATTCATAACCTAGAAATAAATAAAGAGAAATAAAAGAGTTGGACCAATAAAATAAAGTAAAATAAAATAGTCATATACAGTATATATTCAGAAAAAGATATCCACAAAATAAAAATTGTAAATATTTTACAATTGCAGCCCATTAAGCCCAAATAGCGTGAAAAGTAACTAATGGGCCTACATCATCTCAATCTAGAGTTCTCTCTAACTCGTACGATAGAAACAGACCCACCCGAGAAACTCTGACCCGACCGAAGAATGGGACCGTCTGCTGCGAATACACAAACCAACGGCGGAACCGCCTCGTCGAATCACAATCCTTCGGCAACAAACGGCGGCGATGCGACCCTGAATCAACCTCCTCTAGCAGCTAATCAGGCGATCACAGAGTCGGATCCGTCGAAGAAGAGGAGAATGGGGATGCTTCCTCTCGAAGTGGGAACTCGTGTGCTGTGTCGGTGGAGAGACGGAAAACTCCATCCGGTTAAAGTTATCGAGCGTCGGAGGATACATAACGGTGGACCAAATGATTACGAGTATTACGTTCACTACACAGAGTGTATGTCGTTTTTTGAATTTCTAGGGTTTAGGGTTTGGATCAGTGTATTCAGTTTTGGTTGATTTGTATTGTTGAATGTCAAAAGGTTGGAACTTTAGTAAAGGGCTTGTGTTTGATTCATAGATTGGTCGTTAAATTTGTCAATTGGATTATTTTTGAATTTGGGTGAGATTAGGAGAAGGAGCTTAAATCCTGTATTAGATTCTGCTTCTTAAGATGATAGAGTTGGTGGTTTTGAAGTCTTATGATCATCATCAGTGTGTATGTTTTGAGTGTGTGATGTTTAAGGATTTGTTTTTTTTGAAAGTGAAGTTAATAGGAGGCTGGATGAATGGACTCACCTGGATCAATTGGATCTTGATTCAGTAGAATGCGCCGTTGATGAAAAAGTGGAGGACAAGGTAGTTTTTTTTTTTAACTTTCAATGTGGTTAGTTGCATGATACTCCATTGGATTACATGAATTATCTCTTCTACCTTTAGCACTGAGCGTACAAGTGTGTCTGTGTTTTTTTTAGGTGACGAGCTTAAAGATGACGCGACACCAGAAGCGGAAGATCGATGAGACACATGTAGAGGTAAGTAGTTAATGCCACTAGAAGGTGATCCTAGAGACATAAGGCTTATCTTTTGTGTTGACTTGTTATTCTGTGTTTCGAAATGTTCTTATAGGGTCATGAAGAGCTGGATGCAGCAAGTTTGCGTGAACACGAAGAGTTCACGAAAGTGAAGAACATAGCAACGATTGAGCTTGGAAAATATGAGATTGAGACTTGGTACTTCTCACCATTTCCGCCGGAGTACAATGACTGTGTGAAGCTCTTTTTCTGTGAGTTTTGCCTGAATTTCATGAAACGCAAAGAGCAGCTTCAAAGGCATATGGTTAGCAGCTCTTCTGTCCCCTTTTTAAAAATTTATGTATGATGTTCTGTGAGTATATTTTCATCGTGTGAGCTTATCCGTATCCATATTCTATGTTCATGGTTCTTTTAGCTTTTGTATAATTGCCTCGCTTTTCCGTGCAGAGGAAGTGTGATCTGAAGCACCCCCCTGGTGATGAAATTTATCGAAGTGGTACCTTGTCAATGTTTGAGGTAACACACCGTGATCTGCTTCTGTATTTTCTGATATGTTTACATTATCAGCTTTATCGCTTGTGTTTTTGTATATGGATGCTAAATAGTTTTTGTACATTTGATCTGACCTTACCTCGGTCTTGCAGGTAGATGGCAAAAAGAACAAAGTCTATGCACAGAATCTCTGTTATCTGGCGAAGTTGTTTCTTGACCACAAAACTCTTTACTACGATGTTGATTTGTTTCTGTTCTACGTTCTTTGCGAATGTGATGATCGAGGATGCCACATGGTTGGATACTTTTCAAAGGTAAACATAGCCGACGTTTATAGATATGTTTGGTTTCAGCTTGTCCAGTTTATTGATAAAATGTAACTTCTGTTGGTACAGGAGAAACATTCAGAAGAAGCTTATAACTTAGCTTGCATTCTAACTCTTCCTCCGTATCAAAGAAAAGGCTACGGCAAATTCTTAATAGCCTTCTGTGAGTTTTTCTTATCACATTTGACAATTCTCTTCTTCTCGATGTACAACAAAGTTGATAACAAATTTGTCTTTCTGAGTTGCAGCTTATGAACTGTCAAAGAAAGAGGGAAAAGTTGGGACACCGGAGAGACCCTTGTCGGATCTTGGCTTGCTAAGCTACAGAGGTTATTGGACCCGTGTTCTGCTAGACATCTTGAAGAAACATAAAGGAAACATTTCTATCAAGGTTAGATTGTGTCTCAGTGTGATGGAAACTTTTTAACCCATTCTCTGAGATTCTAAGAATCCATAACATAATGATGATGTAGGAGCTGAGTGACATGACAGCAATCAAGGCCGAGGATATATTAAGCACACTTCAGAGCCTAGAGCTGATACAGTACAGGAAAGGACAACACGTGATATGTGCGGATCCAAAGGTTCTGGACCGACATCTGAAAGCTGCAGGACGAGGTGGTCTTGATGTTGATGTTAGCAAACTGATTTGGACACCTTACAAGGATCAGAGTTAAAAGTTCAGTAATCTCCTTTATATGAAAGTTGAGTACACTATTATTCTCCTAAAAATGTCTGTGTAGTTTGCTTGTAAATGTTTTAACGGTACTTAAAGTGGTGTTTATGAGAATTTCAAACAGCTTCAGTGTTTCATCTTCCTTTTGCTATTATATGTGGTCTTTAGAAGTATTAGTTACATGTTGATATTCCAAGATAAAAGCCAACTCAATCATACATGTTATCCAGTCAACAACAACGAACCTACATTTTTGATTATAGGGTTGTTGAATTTGATGACCAGTCGTTACCAGTATTCAATAGTTTCTTACATAAACATATCTCAGTTTAGCGGTTGGTCAATAGATGAGCAGGTTAACATGCCTGAATGATATTGTCAACAGTTTCTTTGTTTGTTTTTCTACAAAGAGCAGGAAAATTATTACTAATTTACTCGCAGTAACTTATCGTCTGCATCTCCATCTTTAGTCTCTATCTAGCACATATTCAACTTTTTAAAATGAGAATCCTAAAACTACGATCTCAAACCAACGTACAATTTTCACTAGTATATACATAACAGTGTCAAAGGTTGAGAAACAAAACACACACGAGACAACACACAAAAGCAATGAGTTATCCTCAGCAAACAGTAGGAAACAGAGCACTCTCCTCTGTCTCCACACTTCTCCTATGTATCCTCTACTTCATCTCCAAGTCATCGAACGCCCAATCTTCTTCTTCTTCTCCGGACTTCGCATGTGACGTCACCACAAACCCTTCTCTAGCCAGTTACGGATTCTGCAACACGAGCTTGAAGACCGAAGCCCGAGTCACCGATCTTGTCAGAAGATTTTAACTCTGGAGGAGAAAATAAGGTTTCTTGTGAGCAAAGCTACAGGCGTGAACCGTCTCGGGATTCCAGATTACAACTGGTGGTCGGAGGCACTTCACGGTGTATCTGACGTTGGAGGTGGTGCCACTAGCTTCCCTCAAGTCATACTCACCGCTGCTTCCTTCAACGTATCTCTCTTCAAAGCCATTGGCAAGGGTAGAAATTTTTTGTTTCTTTGCATACAAGTAATAAATAAAAAGTCTTTTTCATGCTTCTAATACTTTCTATTTATGGCATGGTTTAAAAGGTTGTGTCGACGGAAGCGAGGGCAATGTACAACCGGACCAACGGAATCTAAACCGAATTGAACCGAATCGAATCTGGTACTAACCGAATTTGTCAATAGATCTCTCGTGGCTCTATATTCTTCACTGTTCCTCTGTTTCAGGAGCCCGAAGTGATTTCTACTCTCTCAGAGATCCACCAGGTATTCGATTTTTTTTTCTTCTCCGTTTCTATTGATTGATTGATATTTAGGGATCCATGAATTAGAATTTCATTGCTGGTTTGTGAAATTAAACTCTTCTACTTCGGTTTGTTCCATTCTATAAAGTCGGCATCTTTATACTCTGTTTTCTCTCTGATTTTTTTGTCTGTGAAGTCTTTGTTGTTATGTGAAGCTGGATTAGTCCTTTGTTTAGATCTTTCTTTCTTCTTCTTTAGAGTGATCTTTAGAGCTGTTGATGTTTTAAATTCGAACTGAATTCAAAACTCTTCTGAAAACTATAGCTCAAAGCTCTGTTTTTACAGCTCAAGATGGATACTTCTAAGGATGATGATTTCACATTCTCAGAGGTGAGTGAGTTGGCACTTAGTTTCTTCAGGATAAAAAGGTTTAGACTTTATGATGATTGATTCTTGGTTTGTCCCGTATTAAAGGTTGTGTCACAAGATTGTGAAGTTTTTCCAGAGGCAACAGATATTGCATCAGATGTAGACGCTATTTCCCTTAAAGATACTCAAAGCAAGTCTCTGAATCTAGTTTCTCCAAAGCAAAACACAGTTGATTCTTCATCTGAGATTCTCAAAGCTGCTTCAGCTAGAAAGCCTATAACACGTACAAAAGTCCCATTTGAAAAGGGTTATAGCCAAATGGATTGGCTCAAACTTACACGAACACATCCCGATCTTGCAGGTAAACGCTTTCTCCTCCTAAATGTATTTTTGATGAAACTGACAATTTTGTTTGTGCAGGCCTTAAGGGGGAGTCGAACAGGAGGCTTATATCAATGGATGAAGTCAAGAAACACAAATCAGGAGACTCGATGTGGACTGTATTGAAAGGACGTGTGTATAACATATCACCTTATATGAATTTTCATCCTGGAGGTGTTGATATGTTGATGAAAGCAGTTGGGAGAGACGGTACGTTCTTGTTCAACAAATACCATGCTTGGGTCAATTTTGATATCTTACTTGAGAAATGCCTTGTTGGAGTTTTGGATGACTCCAAAGTGATGAGCAAATGCTAAAAGGTGTTGAGATGTTCTTTTACTCGTATAGAGGTTCAGACAAGAGTTTACATTTTGAAGTATTCAAATGAAAACGCTGGTCACAACTATGTAATGTGTATTACTATTTGATGTCAATATGAATCATTCATTGATCATACAGTATGTGATTAACACTTTGCAATACAAAACAGTAGAGGAACAGAGGATAATAGATTTTAATTCAGCTCTGTTTAGGCCTTTGGTGGACTTCTGTAAAGCTATAAATCAACCATTTGTAGGCATCATCTCCAAATCAATTCACTACGGAAAATTTGAGAGCCACAACGGTCAAGACAACATGAAAGAAGATAAAGGGATAAGGAAGGCTTCCTACATGTGAACATTTCATTCCACACAAATGATTAAAACTCCTATAATTTGTCATACTCTTTCAATCTAGTCCCCATATTTTAAGGCATCTCACTTCTCTGACATACAACTCAAAACTCATTGCCAGCTTTCTAACTAGAGCAAACAAATAAAGAGAACACAGGAATGGAGTTTCGTGGAGATGCCACCCAGAGGATTGCCATGATATCAGCTCATCTTCAACCTTCTTTCACTTCTTCTCAGGTTTCTTTGCTTCTATGTCAAGTTAACTTCTTTGATTCTTCATTGTTTTCATGTTCATGGTTTGACCGACCATTAGATGGAGGAGAAGAACACTGTAATGGGAAGAGAAAACTGCAGAGGGAAAGGTGGGAAAGCAGGATTCAAAGTAGCAGTTCTTGGAGCTGCAGGTGGAATAGGACAAACTCTATCTTTGTTAATGAAGATGAACCCTCTCGTCTCATTACTTCATCTCTACGATGTTGTCAATGCTCCTGGAGTCACTGCTGACGTTAGCCATATGGACACTGGAGCTGTTGTAAGAACCTCTCAAAGCTTTAGAAGCTTTATCATCATCATAATGACTTCTTCTTGATAATGTTTTGAGTAAAGGACATACTTTTGATTGGTGATTTTAGGTTAAAGGTTTCTTGGGAGTCAAGCAGCTTGAGGACGCTTTAAAGGGTATGGATCTTGTGATCATACCAGCTGGTGTACCGAGGAAACCAGGGATGACACGTGATGATCTCTTTAAAATCAATGCTGGCATTGTTAAGACACTATGTGAGGGTGTAGCGGAGTGCTGTCCTAATGCTATAGTTAACTTGATTAGTAACCCTGTGAACTCCACTGTGGCCATTGCTGCTGAGGTTTTCAAGAAAGCTGGAACTTATGATCCTAAGAAGCTCCTTGGTGTTACTACACTCGATGTTGCTCGTGCCAACACATTTGTGGTAATTTAATGGCTTTTACATGGTTCCTCACTCACCTTTGGTTCTGTTGACTTTATCAAGATCTGACATTATTGTTCAATGTTGTGAAGGCTGAAGTTCTTGGACTTGATCCAAGAGAAGTCGATGTACCGGTCGTTGGAGGACACGCTGGAGTCACAATTTTGCCACTATTGTCACAGGTTTCATATCAATAGGACATTTTTCATTTACATGAGCTGCTCTGCTAATTGATGTTTTTTATTTTTGGTCTCAGGTTAAACCTCCAAGCAGCTTCACACCTTAAGAAATAGAGTACCTCACGAACAGGATTCAAAACGGTGGAACTGAAGTAGTGGAGGCAAAAGCTGGAGCTGGTTCCGCAACACTTTCAATGGTAAAAAAAAAAAGAAGCAAAACCAACTTACTTTCTTAAAACATCATCATCATCACTTGGTTCTTCTCTTGAACAAAATGTCCTGAATATATGTGTACTACTACTACTACTATAGGCATATGCAGCAGCAAAGTTTGCAGATGCTTGCCTTCGCGGGTTAAGAGGAGATGCGAATGTCATTGAATGCTCTTTTGTTGCTTCACAGGTTGTAATTTAAATCCCGAAAAAGGCTTTTAGTTTTCCATCTTCTAATGAAAAGGCTCTAACGAGTCTGACTTTGTGATGGCGATTGACACCACAGGTGACAGAGTTACCTTTCTTTGCAACCAAGGTGCGTCTTGGACGTACAGGAGCAGAAGAAGTGTATCAGCTTGGGCCCTTGAACGAATACGAAAGGTCTTGAAACAATTCTCTCTTTGATATTACTTGTCTCAGAAAACAAATAATTAAGAGAGAGATCTTTTAACATGAGTTCTATTTTCTACAATGTACAGGGTTGGTCTGGAGAAAGCAAAAGAAGAGTTAGCAGGAAGTATTCAGAAAGGTGTCGACTTCATCAGGAAATGATATTTGAGAATAAATCAATCAGAGAGACAATAAAGATGATCTTCCTAAAATCATATGATCATGCATGCACTAGTGTGTACTACTTACTCATCATGCCTGTGTCCTTGACACCTTGTGCTTCTTTTTCTTCTTCAACTTTTGTAAATTTTCTTTTATAAGTTTATGTAACTCTTGTTGCCTCCTCTTAAGTTAAACGTACTCTTATATTGGACTTGACCTTGTTGAACTAAAACTTCTTGTAAGGATGATCTTTCACACGCTCTGATTTGTATTTTGTAATATCAAATCCCTAGAATTAGCAACGTCGTAACTAAATGACAATCATGTGAAATAAAAACGTTGAAGCAGTAGTAACACGTCTGAAGGTGAAAAAGCTTCAGACGTGAAAAAAAAACAATAGAAAAAAGAATGGCTTCGTCCAGGTTCGAACTGGAGACCTTCAGTGTGTTAGACTGACGTGATAACCAACTACACCACGAAACCTTTACGTTAATCGTTTCAAACCTAAAGTACTTTTCATAATTTAGCGAAGTTGGTATCACCTACCAAATTACAAAACCCACGTGATCTTCCATTTTAATAGATTTTGTCTGAACGAATAAAAGAGAGCCAACTAGTGAAACGAAAGGTCATCACCAGTTTCAATCTCTCCACAACAATGGCAGCCACAAGAGTGTTTACTGCAGCTGCAGCCACTACCAAACCCACCTCCTGTTTCCTCCCCAAACGAGCTTTCCTTCTTCCGACGAAGACATCATGCGCCTCTGCTCTATCCTTCAACAGAAGAGCTTTGGTGTTGAAATCGAAGCGACCCTTCTCTTGCAATGCCATATACAATCCTCAGGTTAAGGTTGAAGAAGAGGGTCAATCCGAAACCCTAGATTATCGCGTTTTCTTCCTCGATGGCTCCGGAAAGAAGGTTCCGTTTTCCCTCTTACTAAGTGTCTCTCTGTTTTAAAGTTCAGAGCTTTTTTTTCTCTGTGGATCTTTAAAAAATTACTACTATGGTTAGATTTGGTTACTAATAGACTTAACTCTGACTCTGAGAATGCAATCAATGTTTCTAAAGATCTAACATTGTGAAATGCTTTTGATACATTACTCTGTTCTCTGTTAACTGCCTTTGGTTTGGTTACTCTGTTTCTTACCGTTATTGTGTCTCTCTGTGTTAAAGTTTGAACCTTTTGTTCTCTCTGAGCTTTATGGATCCTTCACATTGCTAATTGGAATACTACTGTGATTAGATTTGGTTACCAATCAATGTTTCTAAAGATCTAACATCGCTCTGTTCTGTGTTAAACGTTGTTCTTTTGATTACATCACTTTGCTCTTTTGATTACATAACTATGTTCTGTGTTAAACGCTGTTCTTTTGATTACATCACTCTGTTCTGTGTTAAATGCATTTGGTTTCGTCACTCTGCTTTTTATGTGTGTTAAAGACTGAAGGAAAAATTGTTTTGTGGATTTGTATAGGTTTCTCCATGGCATGATATACCGTTGACCTTAGGAGATGGAGTTTACAACTTTATAGTTGAAATCCCTAAAGAATCTAAAGCAAAAATGGAGGTTGCTACTGAAGAAGACTTCACTCCTATTAAGCAAGACACTAAGAAAGGAAAGCTCAGATACTATCCGTACAACATAAACTGGAACTATGGGTTGCTTCCACAGACATGGGAAGATCCATCTCAGGCTAACCCTGAAGTTGAAGGAGCTTTTGGGGATAATGATCCAGGTGAGTATGTGTTTTATGCTATTGACTTGAAATTGTTATTATCAAAGCTTATTTAATCTTGGTTTTGGATTTTGTAGTTGATGTTGTTGAGATTGGAGAAGCACAAAGGAAGATAGGGGAGGTTTTGAAGATCAAGCCTTTGGCTGCTTTAGCTATGATTGATGAAGGAGAGCTAGACTGGAAGATTGTTGCCATTTCATTGGATGACCCAAAAGCTCATCTTGTGAATGATGTTGATGATGTTGAGAAACATTTCCCTGTAAGAGCTGGTCTATGAGTAGAAACCAGTTTAATGTTCTCAGGTTTCTGATCCTTAATATGGTGGATGCAGGGTACATTAACAGCCATCAGAGATTGGTTTAGAGACTACAAGATCCCAGATGGAAAGCCTGCTAACAGATTTGGTCTTGGAGACAAACCAGCAAACAAAGTATGTTCCTTTTCTACAAGTTTGTTTTAGTGGTGTAGCTTCATGTTTGGTACTGAAACAGAGAGGAGCTATAACATTTATGGTTTGGTGTTTTTTTTTTTGTTACAGGAGTATGCTTTGAAGATCATCCATGAAACAAATGAATCATGGGCTAAGCTTGTGAAGAGATCAGTTGATGCTGGAGACCTTTCACTATTCTGAACAGTTTAACAATTCATATCTTGCAATGTGTCCAGTTATGAGCTCGAATAATTTTATCAGACTCAAGAGTCCTACATCATTCTTGTGTTTTCTCTTTAGAAGGAGATCTCTAAAAAAACGTTGAGATTTTGTTCACTCTTGATGACTGAGTGAAATAATAAAAAAGACATTATTGTTATATATGTTTGATATGTGTACATGCTAATATGTTATAAAATCTTTTTGCATGTGTCTTTTTTTAACAACAAATGTGTCTAACTACGCTTACATGCATGATGCATGCTACAGTAGTGAGCTTTTTTTTGTTTCAAATTGGTGAAACCCAACGTAACATTTCAGTGTGTTTAAAGTATGTAAAATTGGATATCAAATTGTGATTTATAAAGACATTCTTATGAAATCAATGCTTTTGGAAATATTAAAATGGAACATGAAAACAGGCTTTGTAATCTGACAACTGACAAGAAGCTTTTGAGAAAGAGAGACATCAGAGAGGTTTTCCATCAATCCATCTTTTGAACGCAAGTGAGCATGGGTCAGGTTTATACTCAGCGGTATGTCCTCCTCCCTGCAAAACACACACAATCAGATTCTGTTTTCTTTTCACTATATATGTTCACTGCAAAAGCTTTGGAGAAGAATTAAAAAAAAAGATTTAGAAAACAGTGCCTTGATGGTTGCAAATGTCATCTTATTAGCGTAAGTCCTTGTATATCCAGCGACTTCATAGCTACTCATCATCCAAGGTCTCCAGTCATCAACAATTGAATAGTTGAGACCTTTGATCCATTCTTCCGTTGAAGTGAAAGGTACCATCATATCGTGATCACCACTGTTCCAAAACTTCCAGATACTTGAGTATTGGTGCACTAATTATGTAACAAAGTATTTGAATGAACGAATAGTAATCTTGCCTGTAGATGAGGGAGCGGAAGCCTTTACGACTATTATTCACGTGATATGGAATGGCATTGTCATTATCAAATGTATATGGAATGTTTTGGATGTTGCATCGGTTCCATCTTCCTAAATCCTGCATGATGATATTAACATTGACTTGGTCATTTTTGTGCTGCCTTTGTTATGTTCTTATTTATAACAAAAAAAAAAGTAGAATACACAAATACCATTTTAACGCCTAGAGCTCTGCGTACATTTTCATCATTTGCCCAAATGGCAGACAGAAAATACCTATAAGTCTGAGAAGATGATATAAGTGTTAAGTAATCATCAAATCTATGAATATATAAAATAACCAAGAGATCAATTCTTACAAAGCAGCTAGGAGGAGGCAATGATGATGTATCATTTCCTGAAATTTCCACTAGTTCTCTTCTTCCGCCGATTTTGATGTTTGGTAAGGTTTGTGGTATAACTGGTAATCTGTAATCTACTGGACAGTTTGGTAATAAAATCTGCTCTGCGTATATCTCCGAGATACACTAATAACACTCAAAAACAAAGAGGCAAGTTACTCCAATGAAATCAGATTTTTATATATATATATATATATTATGCTCTTTACATTATCATAAGCTTGAAGATCTTTTAAGCATTTTGCATTACTCGGGTCTACATTCATGTGTGTTCCTCCACAACTATTTTCAAACGACTGCAAAATAAGTAGTGAGAAAAAAAGATTGGAACCTTATTCTCAGCAGCCATATATATATATATATATATATATATATATATATATGATATAGAAAGAGAGTACCTCAAAGAGTTCATCTGAAATAAGTCCCATCCGATGAGCAAATGAAACTTTATGGTTAGATATTTTTATGTCTGTCACAGGGTTTCCAAGAACATAACCCTGCTCAATTTTTAGGAAAATATTACTAATCTCAACCGATTTGTTCAAAAAAAAAAAACTGAAGAGAATAAACAATTAATACCTGAAGACTTATGAATGGTGTGAGACCTTTCTCATTTCCTGTGTTTCAGATTGTGATATGTGATTAAGATATTTATTCTAAATAAACCGAAATGAAAAAATAAGCCCAAGTGTCTATAACGAAAATACCAAGTGAAATCTGTTGCACAACTCCGGGAACAATGTGCCCGGAATATGAATCTCCACCAACGTAAAATGGGTTCGATGTATACTCAGGGTGTTCCACAAACCACTACAGCAGGTAAACAAAATTAAAAACACTCACTTACAAAAAAAGAAATTAAAATTAATATGAACTCAACTCTTCTAAGGAATTGGTCGATTTGATGAATTTGTTTAGCATCGCTCGACTCTAAAGCACGCGGAGTTTTCGCATAAGAATATCCAGAGCCAGCAGGAGATTCCAAATATAAAATGTTAGCCACCTTTGTCCAAGAAAAAGATGTTAGCTCCAGAGGAGGCAATGTCCCATTATACACATCCCCTTTGAAAGCTAAAGGACCTGACAGAACCCATTTGAACAAAAGAAAACATCAACTCCAAGACTCTTGTCTTAATCCTCCAAGTGGGACCATTAGAAACATGAAATGTAGCGTTCCATCACCAATGAGACTATATGTTACCGTTTGCAAAGAGCAGTCCACAAATGGAGCTGCATCCAGGACCACCAGTGAGCCATATCATGAGAGGATCTTTCTCTGGATTTCTCTCTGATTTCACAAAGTAGTAAAAGAGCTCAACATCTTCAACACTCACATACCTTTTATGTGTCACGTTTTTCAACCCATATGCAAGTTCAGCAAAGAAGAAAGAAACATGTTAAAAATTAGGAAATAAATAACTTTTCTGATAGTGACAAATTAGAATAGAAAGGTAGACTTTTATTACCCAGTCTCCAGCGCAAAAGGAAGAGGACCTTCAAAACCAGGAAGATACTTCACATGCAAAGAAGTAACAATAACATAATGTATGGAGGTCGAGATGCTTAACAGAAATAAGATGAGGAAATGAAGATTTCTCATTTTTCTCTGCTTCCTAGTGTCGCAAAGCAATAGGTCAAAGGAACCTCTAATCCCAAATGCTAATAGAGATTGAAGAAAGAAGGATGATGCTACGCTTATTAAGTAAAGAGTGAAGACCAATTAGCTGACAGATGATTAAACTAAGGCATTATCATAAACACCCTATTAAATTAAACTGTTAATATTCCTATGCATTATCATACTCATTAATTTTCTATTGTCATGTCAGTAAACAATATTGTCAGCCAGTCCACACATTTATTGAACGAATATTAGATTACATATGTCAATGTTCATGTAACATGATTTTACCTCATCTATGATATAAAACAAGGCATATAAATAATATTTATTTTAATAATGTGAAGTGCAATGAAGAATGCACGGTATCGACGAGGGTTTATTTTCTTGGTTAATCAAAATCTCGTCTAAAATTATAAATATATATTCTGAATTATTTATATTTTTTGGCTAAAACATATTCCCTCCGTTTCATATTAAGTGTCGTTGTAGAGAATTTTTTGCGTTACAAAATAAGTGTCGTTTTCGGTTTTCAATGTAAAATTTATTAATTTTATTAAGTTTTTTGTTTTTCTATTAGTTAAAATATGGTTAGGTGTATGAATAACTGTGTTTTTATATAGAAAATATGTAAAATTAATTGTTTTTTTAATCCGTGTCCTCAACCGTAGAGTGACACTTATAATAAAACAGAGGGAGTATATTTTAGTAAGCACTAAACACTGACATTTGATTCCAGATTAAATTTATAGCATTAAATCAACATCACCAGTAACATTAATAATCTTAAGATTAGGTAATCTTGAGGAAATAAAACAACATGTCCGGTAGCTTAGAGATCAAAACCAATAAACTATAAAGTAGGAAGAAACGGATACTAATAATTTCATATGTATATGACCAACTATAATTGTATGTATAAAACTGTGACCAAAAATTAATTATACAAACCGTACATAAACTGACCCAAGTAACATGACGATATACAACAACGTATGTAAAACCAAATTAAGGAAAACTCAAATCTGCTCATTATGGTGCATGTGATAAGATTCTTCTCAAGCGAATAATTACTAATTCCACTTTCTATAAACAAACTTAAACTCTTTTATAATTATTTATCTAAGATTAAGATACATAACTATAATTACATATATATTATCTAAATTCTTGGTAAATATAAGATTAATATAACATGAGCTGATCTATAATTGTATAATTAATTAATCTAATTGTGCACCTACAAGTTATAATGAGACGACTAGCACATGGTATAGAACATCAATTAATTAAATATATAAGTAGTGTTATAAAAATATTTAATCATGTTATATGATCCGATTAAATTAACATATTGCACATGTATGTATGTATATATCCCAATCAAAGTATACAGAGCATGAATAAATTGAATAAGGATTTGGTTGAAGTATAAGACATATATAATTAGCTTGATGGAAGATCACATTGACTGACGATCAGATAGAAAGTATTTGATCTATTAAAGCATGTTACATATTTGGCGAAAACTAAATTTAATTGAGTGAGGTTATTAAGATCAAATTAAACCATATCCAAAATAATAAAGAGATCAAATCATAGTGTATCCATGTTAACTTTATGAATTAAATATAATATTAAGTGAACAAACAATAAAGTAGCAAAGATGGGGTAACAAACCATAACACGAGATCTGCACGTTTAAACATTATTGAGAGTCCCATACATTACTTGATTACTGTGAATACTATTTTAGTTATTTGGAATCATGTTTTAGCTTCGAATTATAAGCGTGATTAAAAATATAAAGGACGTAAGGAACATGGCCATGCATTATCCTGCCCCCATGGGTTTCTTTATCGGTCAGAACTCCTATCTTTGACGCGTGCAGATTCTAAGGTTGCTCTAAGACTATCCCTTCGCTCTTGAGGAATATTGTGGTTTAATGTACATTTTATCATATCTGGCGGCAAAGGAATAATTTGCTCAGGTTTTCATTCCTGCAGCCACTGTGTTCAGGATAATTGATAGAGAAGTCAAAAAATTTCATTTGTAGAAGATTCAAAAAAAAAAAACTGTAGACTCGTGTCATTTTGGCTGTATAGTTTTTTTGTCTCCTCTTGTGAGTAGTTTGTAGTGTTTCCCTTATTTTTTTTGCCTTGGAAGCACTCTTGTAGATTCTTTCACGAATTTTATTTCATTTATATGATATCAGCAACAAAAAAAAACATTGCCCTGCATTAATGAGACGCCATGTATGAAGAAAACCTCCCAGTGATGATGCCTTGTCGTCATCGCTTTTGCAAAGCAATCATTGTCTTGTACAGACTTCAGCTTCAGCATGCAAATAGCCACTTATAATACCTTTGAAAGATACTTCGTTCATATTCAAAGGTATTACTGTTCTTATTTCAGCTCAATAATTTCAACAGATGCATTGAAAGATGTTTGTTAATCAACATGAGCAGGAGCAGGTAGAGATTCAAAGACAGATCCATGAGTTTCAGAGGATTCAAATTAGAGATCAAGAACATCATCAACAACAACAGATGCAACATCAGCAACAACAGCAACAGAAGCAGCAGCAGCAGCAGCAGCAGGAGGCTATGTAAACAACAGCAACGTGTACACAACGACGTCGTCGCAGTATACTTGCTGAGCTCTGGCGATTCTTTCACATTTGCTAATTGCAAAAATAATATAATTCGATTTGGCTACCAATAGACTCTCAATCAATGTATCTTATGATCTAACTTTGTGAAATGCTTTTGATTCATCACTCTTTTCTCTGTTAAATGTCTTTGGATTCGTCACTCTATTTTTTATCGTTATCGTGTCTCTCTCTCTCTCTCTCTGTGTTAAAGTTGGAACCTTTTGTGCTCTCTGATCTCTGGGGATCTTTCACATTGCTAATTGGATTACTACTATGCTTATATTTGGTTACCAATAGACACCAATGTCAAAGATTGTGACACGCCTTTGATACATTGCTCTGGTCTGTGTTAAATGCCTTTGGATTCGTCACCTCTGTTTCTTGTGAAGGAGGATTATTTTTGCAATTTCTTGTTGAGAAACATTTCCCTGTAAGAGCTGATCCTACTAGTAGCTACAAAACCAGTCTAATATTTATCAGGTTTCTGATCCTTAATCTGGTGGTGAATGCATGGTACATTAACAGCCATTAGAGACTGGTTTAGAGACTACAAGATCCCAGATGGAAAGCCTGCTAACAGATTTGGTCTTAAAGACAAACCAGCAAACAAAGTTAGTTTTACTTTACAAGTTTCTCTTGTGTTTGGTACTGAAACAGAGAGGGAGCTATAACACTTATGGTTAGGTGTTTTCTTTTTTGTTACAGGACTATGCTTTCAAGATCATCCATGAAACGAATGAATCATGGGCTAAGCTTGTGAAGAGATCAGTTGATGCTGGTGACCTTTCACTATTCTGAACAATGTGACATATCATATCTTGCAATGTGTCCAGTATGTGTTCGAATAATTTTATCAGACTAGAGTTAATACATCATTCTTGTTTTTCTCTTGGAGGAGATCTAAACTGTAACATTTTGTTTTTCACCATGGATGACGGAGTGAAATAATAAAAAGACATTATTATTAGTTTAAATACTAGGTCTCATGTATGAGAGACATGATGTTGAAGAGAATCTTTAAAATACTTTTTTTTTGTCTAAATGTTAAAATTTTATAACCATTTCTGAGTTTTACATGTTGCATAAGCAACTTATTACAAGAACCAACAATAAGAAAGCAAATAAGAAGAGTCTGAAACAACATTAGCTAAGCGGAACAATAAACCAAAAGTAAAATATTTACTAATTACTAACATGAAAATAGGCTTTGTGATTTGATGACAATTTACAAGAAGCTTTTGAGATATATATATATATATATATAAAATATATATATAGAGAGAGAGATGACTGTGAGAAACTTTAGAGAGGTTCTCCATCGATCCATCTTTTGAACATAGGTGAGCATTGGTCTGGATTATACTCAGCGGTATGTCCTCCTCCCTGCAAAACTCACACAATCAGACTTTGTTTTCTGTTCACTATGTTTACTGCAAAATCTTTGGAAAATAATGAAAAAAGGGTCTAGAAAATAGTGCCTTGATGGTTGCAAATGTCATCTTATTAGCGTAAGTCTTTGTATATCCACCGACTTGATGACTACTCAACATCCAAGGTCTCCAGTCTTCAACAATGGAATAGTTGAGATCTCTGATCCATTCTTCCGTTGAAGAGAAAGGTACTAACATATCATGATCACCACTGTTCAAAAGTTGTAGATACTGAGTTTGTGACTTACACCAAGAATGATATAACAATGTGTCACATCAACAAAACAAAATTTTTGCCTGTAGATGAGGGAGCGGAAGCCTTTACGACTATTATTCACGTGATAGGGAATGGCATTGTCATTATCAAATGTATATGGAATGTTTTGCATATTGCATCGGTTCCATCTTCCTAAATCCTGCATGATGTTGATATTAACATTAAATTGGTTATTTTTGTGCTGTTATATTTTTATTTAATTAAAACAAGAAAAAAAAAAAGAATTCACATTTATAGTTTATACTACCTTCTTCACGCCTAAAGCTCTGCGTACATTTTTATCGTTTGCCCAAAATGCAGACAGAAAGAACCTATATGTCTGAGAAGAAAATAAGTATTAACAAATCAGAAAATTTCAAACCTATGAACATAGAAAATAACCATAACAAGATATCAAATATTACAAAGCAGCTAGGAGGAGGCAATGATGATGTATCATTTCCTGAAAACTCCTCGAGTTCTCTTCTTCCATCGGTTTTGATGTTTGGTAAGGATGTTACTCTATCTACTGGGCATTTTGGTAACAAAGTATGCTGTGTTTCTATCTCCGATATACACTAATAAATCAAAAACAAAGAGACAAGTTACTCTGTGGAAAAATGCAAAATCATACATATATATATATATATATATATATAGATACTCAAGTGGTGTTGTTATTTAAATCTGTACATTATCATAGGCTTGAAGATCTCTTAAGCATTTGGCATTATTCGGGTCTACATTATCGTATCTTCCTCCACAACTTTTTTCAAGCGACTGCACAAAAAGTAGTGAGAAAAAAAAAGATTGGAACCATATGCAGGCTGACCATATTCTCAGCAGCCATATATATATATAGAGAGAGAGAGTACCTCAAAGAGCTCATCTGAAATAAGTCCCATACCATGAGCAAATGGAACTTTGTGATTAATTTCAATTTTTCGGTTTGTCACAGGGTTTCCAAGAACATAGCCCTGCTCTATATTATTAACCTCAAGCAAATTTTTCAACCAAAAAATAAGGAAGAGAATAGACTATTAATACCTGAGTACTTATGAATGGTGTGAGACCTTTCTCATTTCCTGTTTTTCATATTGTATAATGTGATTAAGATCTTAATTCAAAAAGGCAACGAAATACGCCTAAGTGCCTATAACGAAAATACCAAGTGAAATCTGTTGCACAACTCCGGGAACAATGTGCCCTGAATATGAATCTCCACCAACGTAAAATGGGTTCGATTTAAACTCAGGGTATTCCAAAAACCACTGCAGCAGGTAAACAAAATTTAAAAAAAAAACACACTCACAAATTTTTTAAAAATGAAGAAACTGCAACGAAGCACACCCAAAAAAATAATGATAAAATGAACTCAACTCTTCTAAGGAATTGGTCGATTTGATGAATTTGTTTAGCATCGCTCGACTCTAAAGCACGCGGAGTTTTCGCATAAGAATATCCAGAGCCAGCAGGAGATTCCAAATATAAAATGTTAGCCACCTTTGTCCAAGAAAAAGATGTTAGCTCCAGAGGAGGCAATGTCCCATTATACTCATCCCCTTTGAAAGCTAAAGGACCTGGCAAACCCCATTTACAAAAAAAAAAAAAACGTAAACTCTAAGGCTATTTTGTTCAGTATTTAATCGGTCCATATATACAAGTTATTTTGATATGCTGAAGAGAAAATGTACCTGGACCATTCTTTCTGTTTATATTTAGGCTAATCTACATGTGATTTTCTTACTCTTTGATTTGACTTTAGATCTATATTTGCAATTCAAAATTCAAAGTTTGTTCAGGTCTTTGGGTCGGGTTTGGGCCGGGTCTTAGATCCGAATATCTTAGATCTGAAAGACCCGGATCCGAAAAAAATCGGCCCAAACCCGACCCAAAGACCTAAACAAAAACACATTCTCTATCACATGATACATATATATCTGAAAATTACCGATATTTTACACGTACTGTAATTATAGATCCAAAATGACCCTAGAAGAACCAACCTCAACATGAACAAAATATATTCAAAAATTACATTTTTCCGTCACACAAAAAAACAATGTATTTGTCACATTAGTATATTCTTAAAAAATCCTTAAAAATACACGTATTAAGTTTTCTCTGCTAAAAAAATACACAAACTTTTTAGGTTTCTTGAAAAATATATAGACTAATTTTGGTTGTTCATAAAATACATAAACTTTTGAATCAAAGTTAACGTTGTCTAACGGCATCTAAATGTTCTATTAATCAGAGTTAACGTCGTTAAAATCGAGGTGTGAAACCTCTAGAATTCAAAAGTTCGTATATTTTATGGACAATTAAAATTAGTTTGTGTGTTTTTCAGAAAGCCTAAAAAATTGATGTATTTTTTAATAAAATAAATTCAGTTCGTGTGTTTGTCAGGAATTTTCCCTAAAAAACATAAAATGTATGGTTCCATTAAATAACACAACTCATCTGGTAAAAAAATGGCAACAATTATTTGTTACCGTTTGCAAAGAATAGTCCACAAATGGAGCTGCATCCAGGGCCACCAGTGAGCCAAATCATGAGAGGATCTTTTTCTGGATTTCTCTCGGACTTCACAAAGTAGTAAAAGAGCTCAACATCTCCAGATTCACCAACACTCAAGTACCTTTTAATAGAAAGGAACATGTTAGAAATTAGTAAATAAATAACTTTTCTGGTAGTGACAAATTAGAATAAAAAGGTAGACTTTTATTACCCAGTCTCGAGCGCAAAAGGAAGAGGACCTTCAAAACCAGGAAGATACTTCACATGTAAAGAGGTAGCAACAATATAGTGTAAGGAGGTCGAGATGCTAAACAGAAATAAGATGAGGAAATGTATATTTTTCATTTGTCTACTTCCAAGCGTCGCAAAGCAATAAGGTCAAGGGAACCTTTAATCCCAAATGCTGAGAGAAAAGAAAGAAGAATGCTCTGTTACCAAGAAAAGGGAGAAGAGTGCTATGCTAAATAGGTAAAGAGTGACGAAAAAAAAAAAGGTAAAGAGTGACGACCAATTATCTAACAGAAAAAAATATATTAATCAATCAAATACTGTATATCTTTTACAAAAAAAAAAAAAGAAGAGTGATCGGTGCCATCTAGGGCTGGGCATTTTATTCGTTATATTTGATTCGATTCGTTATTCGTTTCGATTCGATCCGAAAATTCTGGATATCCGTAAACTTTCGAATCAAAGCAAATACTAAAATCCAATATCCGTTAAAATCGAAGCAAATCACAAATATTAAAATTTTGGGAAGCGGATATCCGATCCGATCCGTAAATATATAAATATATGTATATCTTGGTTATATTTGAACTTTTAAATGTATAAAATTATATAATTATTATTCTAGCACATGATTTTGAACATTTTTATTCATATTATTACTTATATAAAAGTATTATATAAAAGAGAGAAAAAATTTATGACAATTATATTTTTTTCTTAAATTTTGTGTTATTATAATCGTAACTCAAACTTTAAAAAATTACAAAATCTGTAAATTCACTTGTTCTTTTAATTTTTATTTTATATATCATGCAAAAAAATATTTTTGCAAAGCAAATTTGTATCAAAATCTTAAGATTGTTTGTATTAATCAAAATGGGTGAGATATCCGTAAATATTCGTAAATATCCGCAAATATCTATTTATTTTCCGGATATCCGTTTTTCCGGATATCCGTATTTTTTCGAAGCAAAGCAAATACCAAAATTAGATATCCGTAACATTCGAATCAAATCACAAATACCTTAAAAAACCCGGATATCCGATCCGTGCCCACCCCNTGTATTAATCAAAATGGGTGAGATATCCGTAAATATTCGTAAATATCCGCAAATATCTATTTATTTTCCGGATATCCGTTTTTCCGGATATCCGTATTTTTTCGAAGCAAAGCAAATACCAAAATTAGATATCCGTAACATTCGAATCAAATCACAAATACCTTAAAAAACCCGGATATCCGATCCGTGCCCACCCCTAGTGCCATCCATGCTTTTAGGAGGCTTAAACCTCAAAAAAAACGTGGCCACCTATACAATCAATATGTGGCCTCAAGAAAAATGCGACCTCCTAATAAATAAATAAATAAACAAACTATCATTCACGATTAAAAATAGTTAAAATTCATAAACTATATGTACTTTTATACAAAAAATGCTAGCATATGTTAAGCTTTTATAGTGTTTAAAAAAAAATGTTAAGCTTTCATAGTTACAATTATATATTAATTTTTATTTAACTGGAAACTCACAACAATATATTATCTTAGTTGATTATAAACAAAATATAATATAGTATCTAACTAATTTTTAAATTATGTGTTATTTATAAAATCTTATATTGTCTTTATTGTATGTTTTTTTTTGCTCTGCCAGTGCTTAAGACCATCATTAAATGAAGACAACGAACTAAAGTTATATAATTAACTATTTAATCTTATATTTAACAAAACATAAGTAGCATTAAATAAATATCCAAGCAATGTGACAAGAAACAACACGTATCTAAGATCAGATTAAACAAAAAGAAAAGTCAAATCTGCTGACTATGATGCATGCGATAAATATTTATATTCACCAAAATCTCAGGTCCTGAGCTGCAGAGACTGAGACTAGATCTCAGTTTTTAGATTTTCACCTAAGACCATCTCCAATGGGGTTCTATCCCATTAGAATTCTAAAACCATATATATGTGTATGTATGTATTATATATATGTATGTAATTATAGGGCCCATTAAATATTGTAGAACCTTACCTAAAAGTTCTAAAAATAGAACTTTTTAAAATTTTTGGAGAATGTTCTACACTATTTAATGGATCCTACAATTATATATATATATATAATATATACATATACACATATATGGTTTTAGAACTCCAATGAGATAGAACCCCCATTGGAGATGGTCTAATAACCGAGTCACTGAAACTCAGAAATAAAGATCTTCTGATAAGATGGGTTTATGTGAACCAAGGGAAGGTTGAAGCCCAAGTCGGTCCAAAACTAGAGATGAAACTCATAAGCCTGAAGCAGTGGTAGAGCTAGGGTTAGGCTTTACTTGGGCCATAATTACTTTGAATAGATCAAAAGATATACTATTGTGACTGGAACTCTAGACATATGGTCCAAAAAGAGACATTGACTAGTTCACCACAACAATAACTACCCACTAGATTTTGACCCGCGCTTGAAAGCGTGAAAATTTTTTATGATTAAAAATTTATATAATTGGGTTTTCTCTTAATTTAAAGAATGTTTTGGTATAAAATCAGTTCACCAAAATTTATGGTGATGATTGTTTTTCATTAATTTTTAGTTTCAGTTTTTATTTTTAGATTTTATTTTAGATTTAGGTTTTTGGTTTTTAGTTTTTAAGTTTCTACTTTTGATTTTCAGCTTTTGGTTTGTGTTTTTAATTTTTAGACCCGTTGAATTAGTTTGAACTGATATTACCAACAAACAAATCCTAAATAATCGAACATCTAATTTAAAACTGAAAAGATGACAAAAAAATTTGCAATAGTTTATTTTGTAAATAAACAAAAGCAAAAAAAAAAATAACTTGTGTTTTCAGCTTTTGGTTTTTAGATTTGGTTTTTTGTTTTGCTTTACATTTTTTTAAATCAGTAAATTATTTAAGAAAAATAAAACAATAAATTATTTAAATGTTACCATTGAAATTTATCAAAAGAAAGTGATTGTTATTTAAAATAAAAAATACATTAACATGTTTTAAAGTGCATGATTTAAATAAATGATTAATAATAGATAATTTTGTTTCCTTAAAAATATTAAATACCTTTTGAGTCTAAAAATAATAATTGATTTTTTTTATCTATTAAGGTGTAAAGTTTATTCAATGTTTTTGGAGTTTTTCCTTAATACTAAGTCCAAAAACCAAACTATATAATTTGTTCTAAAAACAAAAGTAAGCCCAATACTATATCCCATAAATAATCATCGGTTTAATTTAAGTAATCTGGTTTAATTAATTATATGGCTTGTGTTACATATTTGTAACTCTCTAGAAAAGGTCCAAATTTAAATGACAATTTGTATCAGTAGATAAAAATAATGACTCTGTTTTAATAGAGTAGATACGCTTAAAAACAAAATATTATAGATTTCATATGGTTCACTTAACATCCCTCTCACTCTAAGGTGACTCTGCCACTGGTCTGAAGTATTGTGAGATGTTAAAAGATGGAAAACGTTATGATGCTTTCAAGTTTAATTCAAGTATGCAAGAACTCATTTCCCTCAATATACTTCATTCCACATCCACGAGATTAAAAAAAAAGAAGAAGCTTATGACTGCTTTGCTATGTCTTAGAGATCTTGAGAATTCTCCTTATTCAAATATGCTTTCTTCAATATGTTAGGACAAGACAACCAAAGCTGACTAAGGCAAATACTAAACACACTTACTGTTACTGACGCTAATTTTGAAGGCTATGCGTGTAATGAAAACCCGCCAATGATGATGCCTCAAAAGAACGGCCGGTTCTCGCAGATGCAAATGCCCTTATAGTCTTGCACATACCCCAGCTTCAGCATGCAAACACCTATTCCTTTGAATTATATTTTTGTTTCAGCTCAATAAATTAGACGTGAACAGATACATTTCTTTTCTTCTTTCTCCATTGGAAACTTTCGTTGATTTTCGTTCTTTGGTTGTGGATCTTGGGAGCTATAATTAGATTTGAGAATCTGTGATTTTTTAAAACTATGAACTTGAGTACTGGAAAAGAAAGTTTGAAGCAAAGATCACGTGGTTTCTCACCTAAATTTTGATGACTTTCAAGAAAAAGAAATAAAATATCCAAACACTATCATTGGGACAAAGGAAGAAAAAAGCGTTATACACCTTGATTTAATCAAAGTAGTTAATGATGATTGATATAAATGGCGTAAATTAACTAATTCATTGTCAACAGTCATCTACTCAAAAACACGCAATTAAAAAAAAAACACTAAAACTAGTGCCGCAAAAGTCCATCTAATCCATCACTTTCAGCTACCCTCACAGCTCCGTCACCTAAAATCTTATCACTTCCAACCCATACTCAACCGACACGTGTACTAAACCAATAACTTCACGCCAACACAACCCGTCACGTTAACATTTCTCCAAAAACCACCACCGTTTACCCTCCATGATAAAAAACAAAACAAGTAACATAACTCTATACTTTGCCCAAAAAAAAAAAAAAGTAACATAACTCTATACATCTCATGGATCACTAAACCATCAAAACAGTTTTTTTAAAAAAGATGGAGAAATTCTCATACAACTCGTATCCAGATTCAGCCGAATCATCCCCTCGTTCCCGCGACGTCGATTTCGACAACCCTCCCCCATGGGAAGACCAACAACCACAACAAACCTACAAAGTCAAGTTCATGTGCAGCTACGGCGGAAAGATCCAGCCGCGTCCACACGATAACCAGCTCACTTACGTCAACGGAGACACCAAAATCTTATCCGTAGATCGCGGCATCAGGTTCCCCGCGCTAGCTTCGAAGCTCGCCGACATCATCGGCGGAGGAGAGATCTCGTTCAAGTACCAGCTTCCTGGTGAAGATCTCGACGCGTTGATCTCTGTGACTAACGAAGACGATCTCGAGCATATGATGCATGAGTACGATCGGCTTCTCCGTATGTCCTCGAAGCCAGCGAGGATGCGTCTGTTTCTATTTCCGTGTTCTTCTCCCGTCTCCGGAGGGTTTGGATCCGAAGGCTCGACGAAATCGGATCGGGAGATGGTGAATCCGATCCTGAACCGGCCGGATTCGGAGAAATCCGTAACCGCTCCGGTTATTAGTAACGCTGATTTTTTGTTTGGATCGGAAAAAGTTGTTGTTGCAGCTCCACCAGCTCCAGTGACTCAACAGATTATTCAGGATCCACAGATGTTTGTTAATCAACAGGAGCAGGTAGAGATTCAGAGACAGATCCATGAGTTTCAGAGAATTCAAATTAGAGATCAAGAACAACATCAGCAACAGCAACAGATGCAACATCAGCTACTACAGCAACAACAGCAACAGCAGCAGCAGCAGCAAGAGGCTATGTATAGAAGAAAAAGCGAAGACGGAGGAGGAAGATACTTGTACGCTCAAAATCCTCCTCCGCCTCCGCCAACGACGGTATCTCAGGGGAATCCACAACCTCCGGTTGGATACTGGCAAGGAAACAACAGCAACAACGTGTACACAACTACGTCGTCGCCGGAGCAGCAAGTATACATGATTCCAGCTCAGTCTCAAGCTCAAGGTCCAGGGACGGTATACCATAGCGTAATGAGACCACCACCACCGACACAAGGGAACCAAGGCTATTACCCACCTGTTCAACGAGTCCAGCAGCAGCAGCAGCAGCAGCATCCTGATCCCTACATGGAGCAGCAGAACTACAACGTGGTTCAACAACAGCCAACGTATTCAGGTGGTCCACAGGTTATGAGTAGTGCTCCAATGGGTTTACATGAGACGGCGGCGTATTCACAGATGGGGAATCCTGTGTACTATACAGTGGCTGGGGATGGTATGATGATTCCACCGCAACCTCATCAGGCTCAGTACCAGGGAATGGGTCAACCGGTTAGTGGCATGACCGGACCGGATGGGAAAGTGGTGGTTAACACGGCGCCTAAAGTGTCTCAAAGTTCAGATTCGGTGTGAGTGTGAGATGAAGGTGATGTTGATGTGAATGTCATGATCATATTGTTATCATTATTATCCATTTACAATTTTACTTTTATAGTATATGTATAAGCGTTTGAGATCAAAGTGGAATCTGAATGTGCTTGCTTTTGAGTTAGCTCTCCTTTTAGAGCTCTGTTTTAGTAGTTTTTAATAAATATGACTCTGGACCTTTTTGGTCTTATCGTCTCTTGTGCATCCATTGAGTGAGTGTTAAGATTCTAGCTTTTGTGCCTTAGTTCTCTTTGTATAACTACTGTTGATTTACTTTATTGGTTAAGACTATATATCGATGTTCATGCCATTGTTTAAAGTGGTCCAGCATCTAAGTATGGACATGTGTTGTGCGAGAAAAGGAGTGTTAGGTGAGAGAGCATTGGATCTTAAAAAGATGAAAGTTCACTCACTCTTAACTAACTAACTAATCCACAGGACCCATTCTTAATTACTTTTACTAAGCGACAATCATTTTATTGTCATCATCATAGTTATCTAAGGTCTTTGTCTCCATTATTTTGCTGCCATATTAAATACAAGTCTCAATCCAGAACATAGGTGTCCATGTAAAACCCATCTTGTCTTTGTCATGACGATTCAAATTGATTTTGTGTTCTTACTCTTTCACCCAAATTTGTCTTATTGATTTGATTTCTTGTCTTTACATCTATGGACGTCGGTCAGTTTGGTTAGATAGACCCTGTCTATCACTTTGATTTGTGAAAAGACAAAATTTATTCTCAACTCAACACTAATTAGTAATTAGTTATGAAAAATGAACTCTAAATGTGTTTCACTTTTATTTGTTATACAAAAATTGACTTTTATCATTCAGCATAACTTGGCTTGCAAGAAAGAAGGGAATCTGAAGTGCTGATTAAGACATAAAAGAGAGGCGCAAAAAGTGGAAGTGTGTTGCCAAAGTTTCTGAGAATTAGTTTCATACACAATCGAGATTGTGTATTCGAGAACACATTAGTTTCACACATGCATAGGACTTCATGTAGCAGCGGAGAATAACTGGTTAGTTAACAACTTATTACATTCCAACCCCTTCAATAAGGTCTTAGAACAAGGAAAAAGCAAACAGACATAAGTTTTTAAAAGCCCAAAATCCCAAAACAAAAGCTAAACACTTCTCAAAAGACAATGAGAGTTTAACATCTACTCTCTTTTTTTATTAGATCTTGTGCATCTCAAGGAAACTCTTACTGGAGACTTTGGCCGGCTTAACCAAACAACGAAAGAGCTTTGGCAGAAAGGTTGTTTCAATGGGTCATGAGCGAGTGAATACTCTTGATAGTATGGTAAACCGCAGCTAATGCAGTAACCGAGGTGATGATGGGGAGTTGCTGTTGTACATGGTAATGAACTTGGTAGAAACCAGGGTAAGTGAGGCAGATCATACCCATCTTCAGGTAGAGAAGATAGCCGCCATAAAAGACTCCTGTCAAGTAAATCCCCGAGATTCTGTTGAAAATGGATAACATGGAGTTCTTCTGCGGCTGGTAAACAGTGAGATGAGGAGATAGAGGGCGAAAGCTTTGGGGCTTTGGAGAAGTCTGGTCCTCCTCTGTCAGCTTTATACCCTCTGAGATTGTAGACAACACACGTCTTGGTGTTCCCAAACCAAGAGCTCTCAAATGAGCTCCCATTGCATTCACAGTAGCTTTTGAATGCTATAAGTGACAACCAAGCACAATCATAAGTTTAAGCTGCTCTTAAATATTACAAAGGAAACAAAAAGAAACCTCAAAGTTTGGACAAAGACATCTTACCTCTCTCTCCTCTCTAATGGCATTGCTTATGTTGGCTGTTCCAAAACCAGTCCCAACATTGTCATTCAGACCGGCTCTCGATCTATAAAGAAAAAAAAGACACAGTCAAAGCGTCACAACAGGGTGACTCCATACTTTTTTTTTTTTTTGCGTCCCATGGTAGAAAAGGAAACATACCCGAAAGCTCTACACAAACTTGCATAGTTCTGACCACTACCTAATGAAGGTTGAGCGTTACCAGCAAGCTGCAAAGAAAAACGTTTTTCAAGCACAGTTAAGGAAAAAAAAACTATCCCTACCCAAACCAAACAAGAAAAAGAAGAGCCTACCATCTGATTCTATCTAACCACCCCCCAAAAAAGTACTCCTAATATGCATATGGAACTAAGTATCTCTCTCACTCTCTCATCTTCTTCATCCCAAAATTTTTGCACAATATTCACAAAAGGAATATAGAGGCACACAGTATTTTTTTTATAGAAAATTGCTAATATTATTCAGATCATCCCGAGAAGAAGTTCATTTCTATTCCACAAGAGGCTATACAAATCTGTACCCTATTACATAATCTCGTGTTCTCAATTTTTTTTTTCTATATCAACGATTAAACACAAACAACATCAAAATCTGCCAATCAGAATATCGTTTTCGTATCCCAAGACAAAACCGAGACGCTCATCACTGAAATCAAAGACGAAACCAAACGAATCGCGAATTTTTCTCGATCTATCAACTATTTCACCAACAAGACGCAAAAACGTACAGATTTGTAGACGGAAAGAGGCGCAGAGACGACGTCGCGTCTGCGAAGCGATCGGAGAATAGCGGTGGCAGCCATCGTCTTTGAATCAGAAACAGTATCTCTACTTAACCTTCCTGCGAATACTCGAGAAGTCCGAACAAGAGAAATGGGATCTCGATAAAAAACCAACCCTATTTAGCAAATAATAATAATTAGAGGGTAATCTGGTAAATTAAAATTCTACCAAATGTTATCGGCACGTTTCACTATGTGTTGAACAGTGAAATCCTCTTTTTGGATTAGCGGGTATGCTCATCCTACCAGCTCTTGTTAACGATGAATTTTGACTAAATTGCACTGAACAACTTGCACTTCACATATATTCTTAAAATCCCCTTTTATATTTGTTATCTTCTTTTAAAGCCACTTATGATGGTCAGGTTAATGACATCTGGTAGGATTGATACACACATTATGATGAGAATTGGATGTTAATGTTTTTTTTATGGTGCAAATTGGATGTTGTTCATGTTATTTGGCAAAAGAAGCAAACCTAACAACAATGAGTAGAACTTAGCTTTTGATTACTATTCCATAGAGAAAGGTTTCGTCAACATTAGGAGATCCTCAGATCTTACAAAATAAGAAAACACTACTAGACTTCAAACTTCTGGTTATCAAAGACACTAGAGAGAGTAAACTCTTCTTCATAATTTCCGAAATTTTTTTTATTTAGTTATTGCAGATAACGATAGTAGATGCGCTTAAGCAGCCATCATGGAACCAGAATTCTTCTTGCATTCCGTGAGCATGTCCATGTAGAACTGGCACTTACTGATGTCGCTTCCAAAGTTGTTCACACACTACACAACATACCAAACAAAGACAAAAAAACAACAACATCCCTGTGTCAGCCAGAATGCATCAGATGTCAAAGGATTCAACAACAATCTAAAGCACATCAACACATATGTTCTATTGTGTTAATATGTTCATATTATCTACAAGGAAGCATTTTTTCAATATGCCTGTCTACTTGATCTTCAGTTTAGTGTATATATCAAACGTCAGATCCAATATCTAAGCCAAAACTTGACCAATAAATGAAAATGTAGGTGCTGATTTAACTAAACACTCCTAATATCTAATAAACCAATAACACATCTGCAATGCTAAAGGTTATAGGACAAAATGCAGATCATGCCTACAATGATCATTAAGGATGGGGTTTAAACTTACATCCTGGAAAGCCTTGGACTGAGTGTCACAAGAAGCAGAGGCCATGCTGTTGGCAACAGGGGAAGGAGAAGCAGGGGCAGCAGCAACGGTTTCGTGCTTAATGGTTCTTGGACCCATAATAGCATCCGTAACCCTGTGTGCAATTGCATTTCCAGTACCCCAAGCCATACCTATAGTTCCAAAAAAATAAACAACAGATCATAAGAAACCAACCAAACCACTAACCTATGACAAACAATAAAAGCTTAAAAGCACACATACCATCAGCAATGACAGAGCCAAAACCACTGCGCTGAGGCTGAGCTGTTGCTGTTGCAGTTGCTGGAGGAGGAGCTTGTTTCACTGAAACCCATAATTTTTTTTTTAAAACTCAGTAATTAAATATTAAAGAAAAATTAACCAATGTATTACTAAAAAAAAGTCAGAAAATAAAAATTCACCAGTTTGAGGAGGAGGGCTACGTGCTGGTGCAGGGCGAGCGCTACGTGCTGGTGCAGGGCGAGCGCTACGTGCTGGTGCAGGGCGAGCGCTACGTGCTGGTGCAGGGCGAGCACGGTAACCTGAACTTCCTGCACAACCAAGAAAAATCAATTTAAAAAAAAAAAAAATCAATTTTCCTCATCGTCGACACACAACATAAACCCTAAAAATGTTTCGTGCCTCCACATAAATCTTCTAAAAACGGAAGAAATAAACCTAGACTGTAACATCATAACAGAGAATCATCACAGTTCCAGCAACACATACATACTGATAGACTGCACAGACCCAAACGTGGAGGAAGATATCTGAAAATTGAAAGAAGAAACTCACCACCGGAGCTGCGTCGAGGCATTTTCGTAAGTTAGACAGTTCGAACAAGCGAAGATTTATGAGGAAAAAGCGAAACAAAACTTGACGTTCTAAGAACCTGAGAAAACTTATTTATAAAGATGAGTCGAGACCAACGCGGATTATTACACGTGTACACCTTTAATTGGTTGCGGAACTTTCTGGACGAGAAAGATTCGACCTTGCTCATCACGTATCTTGCGCCCCAAACCGAGATTTTTTTTTTTTTTTTTAGAAAAAAAGGAAGGTTAAAAACTCAAACGGATTCGGGCTTTGACTGGTCTGGCCCATACTAACATCCTCGGCTTTTTTTTTTTCACTTACGGTGAATTTACAAGTGAGATCCTTTTATTTTTTTTGCTAATTTATAGTTCAGGTTAACATTTAGATCTGGTTAGATTATTCACTTTTGATTGCAGTTTCCTACAGAAAGTGGGGTTTCTTACCAATGAATTGTTGTTACATTTACATCTAGTTCCGTGTAGTGATATGTATTTGTTGTATTGCTATTAAATTTGATTTTTTTTTAGTTCAATTAATCTACTAATAATATAAAGACTTACAATTGTAAGTATTTTTTTAGATAAATATCTATAAATTAAATACAAACAACACAAAGTGAAAGCAAAAAGCCAACTATTATCATAAGTAAGATGAACAAAAAGGTTAACAACTTCTGTTACTTTGAATTGCATTGTAAATATCCAATAGAACAAATAAAAAAGGAAGAAAGATTCACTTGTAGCTTCAAAACTCTCAAAAAAAAATAGGATATCAATTCTCTGCAGTAGCACTGGCAGCACTCAAGTCCACAGACAAATCAAGAGTCTGCAAAAAGAAGAATGAAGAAACAACTCAGTTTTCAAAATGTTTTGTGTTTACTTGTGAACCAAGAAACAACTCTGATCAGTTATATACCTTTCCAGTGATCTTGGTATACATCTCTAGTACATCTAACACTGTACTCTCGAAATGTGTTGTTGCATCATAAGTCTGATAAAAAAAAATCAAAACAAAAGTAAACAAAGACATGTAAAATACCAAAAAAAAAAAATACTGAGAATATATGACTATAATTATTCACTTACACCGGAGATGAAGCAGTTGTCTTCTTCTTCCTTGTTGGTTGGAACGTATGTGTCATAAGAATGGTAAAAGATCTCATCAATAGGTCCAAGCAATTCAATTCCAGGTTTAAGCTCTTCTTCAGGATTGTCAGTCTCAGCTTCTGCAGAGACAAAAGCAATGTATTTTCCCTTTGGTGCTACATTGTGAGCGTATGAGCAACAGAACAAGTACCTACAAAAATCAGAATGATCATGTTTCTATATTTAAATATGTTTTCTCTGATTATGATTTTTTTACATGTCTGATTTGCGACCGAGCTGCTTCTGAGGAAGAATGATTTGAACAGAGTGAGCGTCGTTGGTGTCTGGAATAGGATGGCTCATTATACACACCGCTCGAGTCACTTTCCCTACTTTGTTAACCTGAAACACAAGGAAAGCATCTTAGAAAGTAACTAGTCGGTACGAGAACAAACCTTTTTTTAGGTAAAATGGGTTTTAGAGTTACCTTGTCAGACAAGTAAGAAGGATCACAGACAACTTTCTTGCATTTAGCAGTTTCCCCTGCAGAAGTGACACCGATTGCTTTTCCAGAGCCATCAAACTCAACCTGTTAAGGGATAATGTTAAAGATTCATGAGCTTATAATGATCTCACATTTATGGATATGAGATTTCTAATAAATAAAACTGAGAAAGAAGAGATTATGGATGGTGTGTAACCTTGCATTCAGGCTTGTTTAGCATGTAAGTCCCTCCATACACAGCGCTCAAACGCGCAAAAGCCTGAGAATATAAACAGAGATTTTAGACATAGAAAAGGTCTAAATCAGGAGGAAATATATTATAAGGTTAACACGGACCTGAGGCAACTCTCCTAGACCATACAATGGGTAGATGTAAGGAGATCCTCCTTGGAACCGAGCCAATGATTCAGCGTAGAGCTTCTCACCACATAACAAAACATTCAGATCAGAGCATTGCCTTGTTGTGGAAGAAAAGAAAACGCTCTTTACCTTGATTCTCTTTACAAAATCAATAGCCGGTTGATCCAAGTAGTCATCGTCATTGTGAAGCGCTAAGGCATGGCCGATGAAGTCAATAGTATCATCCTCAAGTCCATACTTCCTATTCGGAAAAGAAAAACAGAGAGACAAAGCTTGTAACGCAAGAAACAATGATGAAAATGATTTTGAGTAGTACTGTACGTACGAGATGATCTCTCTAGCAGTGACTTTGCTAAGGTCAAGTCCTTCGTGAGACTTAGGATCCTTCTCATCGTAGTCTTGCACATAGATGAAGAACTTTCTCGCACGTCTTTTCTCGAATAGTCCCATCAGTGGCGATTTTAGGGCTTCCACATCAGTGGCTGGGACTTTATAGATCTGACGTATTCATATGGTATGGATGATCAAATATTTTTGAGTAAGTGTAAAAGTAGACTTTATAACTACCTTGCCCTTCTTGTAGACGAAGCTACCATCAACGGCTTTGAAGTTAAGATACTTGGTGACATCGGTGTGAATTAGGGTTTGAACAAGGAGTCCATTAGCCATTATAAACTGTATATCAAGAAACCATAATCTTCATTAATCGATTCACGTTAGATATATGTGCATGCATATATTGCATACCTTTGGGATCATATCGACATTGTATTCTCTGATAGCTCCAAGATTTTCTTGAGGAGTGTCACTTCCCCTGAAACGCTTCCATAGTTGAGTGAGGTTAAGAGATGATGATTCTCCTCCATAGTAGTCGTTTCTATCCATATGCAGTACCTATATACATCCAAACAAAATATAAAAATCGATGATGTTTACATATATATTTGAAAGATAACTGTTGTATGTGATGTAAAAAAATAAAAATAGGATGAGTGAAATGTGAAGGAGAAAACCTTGAGGCCATCGACAGAGAGGAGACCACTAAGGATACACTCCTTGAGACCAGTCCCAAGAACAATCACATCATACTCATCATCCATTTTTGCAACCGATCACTATTATTATCAATCGTCTCTAATTAATTCTTCTCCGATCTCTTATAGCTTTTGTTAAATTAGAGAAACAAAGTGTGTGTGTGGGGAAGAAAAAGAAATAGAGGATGATGTGTGGCTGTTAATACAGTCTTTACCACCACCACCGATCTTACCGTTTAACCACATCATGAGAGTACTGTTCTATGTTAATCATCAGACCCGCATTGTTAGGAATAAATTCATAATTTCAAATGTATACAAATTCTTAAAGAAATATCCAAAAATCTACTATATTGAGACAAACAAGTGCCAAATGAAAATTTTCCTAATTACAATTACAAATGACAATGGTTAACCAAGAAAACTTGAGATCAATTCAGTAACAATCATTGGTAAGATGTAGACCAACCGGTTTAGGAAGTACTAGTACTGGATATATATATGAAATGACAAAAGTATCCATAGATAGATGAAACCACTCTATCAGTTTGCATTTTTCATTGTTTAACTATTTGAGAGTTATCCACAAGTGTGTACATCTTACGTTTCTCTGCATCAACACTGAATCAAACGACTGTTACCTTAAGTCAGATCTTCTTTCGCCTTCTCTTCATCTTTCTCCTTCTCTTCATTAAAAGATGTCAGCTTCACGAGCTAAGGTTTCCAACTTATCATTCTTCTTTCTCTTCTTTTTCTGCTGGTTCAAAGCAAAAAGATTAGATTTTTTATATTCAAAATAGTATTGTTTAATCAAATCAGAAGAAAAAAAACTTTTTTCTTACCACTTGTGATTCAACCTCTTTAAGTTCTCTGTTCATGAACTTGAATTCTTTTACAGTTACTTCATACTTCTACATGATTTACACTTGTTAATGTTCTAAGCTCACAAAAAAATTAATTTATTTAAAAAAACACTCTTAACCTTAAAGGCAGAGTCAACAGAAGCGATGCACTTACTTCTCTTCTTTGAGAAGAAGTAAAGACGTAATGCCCTAGATTATGAGGCATATCAAACCTCACAATCCAATCCTGAAATTCACAAAAGGCTTATCTCAAAATTACTGACAATTTATTTTATGCAAGTATAAACTTATCACTCCTGGAATGTGACCAAGTGACAGAGCATCACTGCAGAGTAAGACATGACCTCTTGTCTTGAAATCTGAAAAGGTTTGAAGCTTCTCCTTTTGAGATAGATTCCCGTGCATTTTTTGAGCAAACCAGAGAGGCATCCAAGGTTCTTATCATTTCAACATGATATTCAACCGATCTGCAAGTTGAGAAAAAAGACAATCATCTTTTGTTTTGGGTGTTCTACATATAGAAGACACTAAACAATATAAGTGAAATTATGTATTGAAAATAGCTGTTATAAGAATAGGAGCATACCTTTGGCCACTGCGGTACTCTAGGGACTAGCTCATGCCTTTCGTTTGTCATCAAGAAATACCTGTTGTGCCCATGGTGCATGTTCACGAGCGAACCATTAAGTTTCACATGAGTTTTGTTCTGATCTTTGCTGACCGAAGTGGATCCGAGATGAATCAGACCGCCATGAGAGTGAGACGAGGGTGAGACTTAGCTTTCTTAGGGTTTCTTTCCAACTTTTAAAATAATATATACACCAACTCAGGGCCGGCCTATATAACTCAAGGCTTTGTTTTGGTTTTGGTAGGTAGCAACAAGGTCCACTGAGGCACACCTCACTTATAAATAATAATAATTACTCCCTCTGTTCCTAAATAATCCATGTTCTAGACTTTTCACAAATATTAAGAAAACTCATTTAATTTTGATTGTAAATGCATTGTTTTTTTGTGAATAACAATTTTCCATAACTTTTAACCAATAGAAACTCAATTAACACCATTAATTTTGTTGAAACGTACAATTTTTCATTAAATCATTCATTGAAAAGGTAAAAAAAATGCATCTTTTTGGAACAAATTTTTTTTCTATAATATACATCTTTTAGGAACGGAGGGAATAGTATAAAACAATGAAAATATATCATTTTGCCCAAAAAAAGAAAACTACATTAGCTCAACTTTCTAGTCAGCTTATTTTTATAAGTAACAAATAATAATTTAGACCAAAAATAGTAATAATTTATCACTAAACCAATACGGTAATGCCTCGTAAAATCCAATTTCAAGTTAGTATTGGAGAGTTTTTCTTGCTTTAAATTTTTAAAAAAATCTCATGAGCTGGCGCTGATCAGAGAAGGAGAAAGAGAAGTGGAAATGAGACAAGGATGATGAACTGCCCTCATGATTCGTAGCATGGCCGTCTATTTATTTATTTATTTATTTATTGTTATTAGGAGGGTGCTTTTGTAAAATTCAGGTTTTACTTTCTACAGCAGTAGTTTGGACTTCCTTCTGTAATAGAGGCCTGAAACTTTTATTTCTCTTGTCTTAGGCCCTTTTTGATATGGTTTCTGTTTCTCTTGCCGTTTTAAGTTTGGTTCGTATTTTCTTTCAAAAAACCTTTTTTATTTACAACACTGTAAACTCGAAAATTGTTAGAAATGCTAAAATTAAAGTCTAAACAACTCAACACTTAACGTAAATGTTAATTTCTAAATCACGCCATGTTTCGTAAATATATTAGTAATAAATTATCATATCCCCTATATATTAATTGAGAAACATTTGAAAAGATGTAACCTCAAGTTTGTATTAATTAAAAAGTAACCTTGCTTAGTTGTCAATCAATTAGCATACCAATTAAACTGACGTGGCAGCTTTAGGTTCAATTGAAATTTGCTAGGGAAAAATAATTAGAGACGCATATAACGCATGTAACATTAGTTTATATATTTAT